CTCCTCTCGTTTCCGGTGCTTTCAGTTCCGCAGGTATCGCTCCTGCACACGTCGTCGAAATTCGTGAGCGTAATTGCAAGCAATATATTCCAGCGAAAAATAGCTTTGCTAGTAACGAGGAGGAGAACTTGCGAAGCTCAACTTGGACTTCGTTTCAGTTTCACGAGCGTCACTTAACGTTTATGTACCTGGTTGAGTGCAATCATGAAACAAGAACAACAATGGGACAGCGCGATACTAGTACAGACAGAGTGCGGACGCAGAAACGTACGTCGACTTAGTCTTAGTAGGACGCTGTTAAGGGTACTACCACCAAACCACATGTGCGTCTATGTGTATGTTGACTAAGACTACGACATTCTCGTCCTCGATGCCAGACCAGATGTTTTGGTTTTGCGCTGCCTTACGACCAGAGCTCCTGCGCAAAACAATCACCGATCTGTTGGTCGCCGCGCTTCACCTTCTCTTCACGCGCGCCACCCTCAACAGACCCGGGGAAGTCCTTACGCTGCAGGTAAAATGCGGCCACGAAATCGGGATTCATCCACTGATTTTTATTTGATTTAATTTTATTTTTTCATGTATGAAATGATACATTAGCATTTACATCTGAAGTCGAAGTCCAACAACAAAATCAAAATCGATGCCCGGCTTATCCTTAACCTTATCATCACGTCCTCGACCACCTCCGTACAACGAGAAACCAAAATCTATGGCATACGTCTAACATCAACATCAGCATCACGCTCACTGTCACTCTGCGTCGCCTGCACGATGTTCTTGACTATGTGATACTGCAAAATCAAAGTTGAACTGCGTGCGTATCCCATCGTCGATTTCGCTGCGAAAATTCAAAGCATCAAAATTATACGCGCGGGGTGCAGTTCCCGAAGTTTTTGTACTGCTTGTGACGCGTCAGAATGCTGTTCTTCTTTCCCTTTTTCAACGCCTTCAGGGCGGCCTGGGCCTGCTGTTTTTGCAGCTCCTTCGGATGTGTCGGGCCGGCACCGTCGTCCCCAGCTGGCGCGAGTAGATCTTGCTCTTCGTCGGCTTCGTGTGAGCTGCACTGCGAAAGCTGGTCATCTTCATCTAGATCTAGATCTAGGTCATCAAGTACATCCACGCCGTCTTTGCGTTTGTTCTTATTCTTCTGACCGTGTCCGGGTTTGCCAGGAAAAAACGGGTTTTGCTTCTGAAGGTCCACACAGAGATGGCTCAGCTCGAAGTCGATTACGCGGGCCTTGAGCTCCCCCTCTGGCGTTAAATCCATGCAGATGTTAACACCCCGAGCGTCGTTCTGCAGCTGGAGTTCAAAATTGGTTGTAGTTGTAGGAAGGGCACACATAAGAATGAGTCTCGTGAAGAAGGTTTCGCTAAGTTGTGACAAACAAAAGAAGAAGGCTTCGCTACGTTGTGAACCATTATTCGCTCTGCATGGCGGTTGCAGCTTGACGAACAAACTTTAACAAAAGCACCATGACCATCCAGCACGATGCAAGTGATGAAAAATCAATGTATAGTACGATATTGTGTCTCCAAATCTCCTTGAACGCCGCCCCAACCTTCGTCTGCACGTCTTCGACAAATCTCGGTCCACCCATTTTGGTTCTTGCGGAGATTATCTTCTGCAGCTTCTGTTGCGTTTGTAGACTCAAAGACCGTCCGGGGGAAGCCCCACGTTCGAGTCCCTGCCGTTTGCGCATCTCTTGTTGAATGTGCTCCAATGTTACTCCTGCATCGGCGATAGCAAACGTGCTCTCCATGGAGTATCTCACTGCTGCGTTACCGGGTTGCTTGTAGTACGTCGCCTCGAGTTTGCCGATACTCCTTGTTTCATCCGGGACGAGGCACGGAGCGGCATTCACCTGGTTGGCGTTGAGGTACCTGAGAACCTTGTACTCGTGTTTTAGCTTTTCGAGCACGTACGAATTGGAGACGGCCACCGCCATGTTCTTCTTGATGTTGATGCAACCCTTGATGAAGCAGGAAGTCGGTTCGAGCTTGGCCTTGGAGACCTGTCCATTCTCGTCCTGCGACGTCTTCTTCCTGTTGGAGTGCTGCAGCTCACGGTGAACTGCCGAGAGTACCACTGGTCGTCCGTTGTTTGGAGGATCATCCATTGCTTGGTTGTGCACCAGTATCTCCCACGTGGGTTTTCTTCCGCGTTGTGTGTGTGACTGTGAGCCAGTCTTTTCAATTGGCGCTGCGGTCGCGCTTTGCTGCCTGTTTCGTGTGATAATGATTCAAAGCATCGATGAATTAAGTTCAGTTCACGCGGAGAACTAAAGGCTGAGGAGTCATCTCATCATACCACAAGACAGATATTTTCTTGAATGTACCAACACAATATGAATATCAATTATCATAATGTAGATCTACAACGAATCAATGACATCTACGAATCAATGACACGTACGTTTACCTGGCTTCATGGACTAGCTCGACGATGTCCTGACAGATCGGGCTGCAAAGCGGTATGCCCAGGCTGCTCTTAAATTGCAGTTCGCCACTTTTGCATTTTTTTCCAGTGTAACCGCAGACCGCACAGTAGATTGACGTCGACGCACCCGCTTCGAAGGGGATGGTCTTCTCGGCTAAACTGCGCTTCTCCGCATTCTTCCAGACGAGGTATGCCTCATTGATTGTGTTCATTCTGCTTCGCCAGTCGTATCCTGCTTCCTCGTAGTATCTTGCATCCCTCTCCTTCTTGGATTCTTCGCCCTGAACGCCTTCGGCTCCTGCAGGTCCTTGATTCGCTGCTCCCACAATGCTATTTTACATATCACTTACAAATGCTTCAGCCGGATCTTCGATGCGGCATACTAAGTACAAACTTGGAGATACAAAACCCAATAAATAGAAGTGTTGCGTTGCTGCAAATTGAGTGTTCTCGCTTTTTTGTGCCACAAAAAAAAATCAAAATGAGAATCCCAGACGAAGCATCAACAGACTTGCAAGCGATAAACTGTGTGGATGGGTCGCGAAGCTTCCTGCGCCTCATCTTGTCCATCTTGGCAGCGGGGTGCTTCGTCGATGAGCGTGCCGCTAGAGGAAGACGCGGCAGCTGCCTTGTCGCTAGTAGCTGTTCGGGAAACTATTGTTCCATCCGCGTTACCGATTTCGGCCCCCGTGGCAATCATGGAGGTGTCGTGTTCAGGTTTCGTCATCGTCAGGCAGTTTCCGGACCCGGTGCCGGTGCTGGTACACAGATGTTTGGAAGTTTCACTACGGTATTCCACCAACATTTCGGCGCGTTTTTCTAAGATTGCCGTTGCTACGTCACGGATGTCAGCGAGCTCCTGCGAAACCGCGGCGCAACTCGAGGGTTTAGTTGCCGATGTGAAGAGTGTGCTTGTCGAGGAAAATGAAGCGTAACCTGTGGCGCTGCCAAACTCATCATCTTCTTCATCCTTCATTGATTCCGTGATGGAACACTGGACCCGACGTCGGTAGTGCTCCACAACCTCCTCGAGGAGCACTCCGACGTCTTTTAAGGCGTGCTTTTTTTCCTGCTCCTCGCCGGCGCCAGGTTCTTTCACCGGTTGAAGGTGTTTCTTCTCGTCGTCGCCAGGTTTTTTTACCGCTCTTTTTTTCTCATGCTGCTTCTTCTTACTCGTGCTTGCGTTGCACGAGCTGGAAGTGTTTTTGATGAAGAAAGAAGATGAAGACCACGATGACAAGAAAGAGTCTGGCGCGGTTCCTCCTTTGCCCCCGGCCCGCCAGGGAAGTTATCGCGGTAAACTCCACCGACCCGTCATCTTCATTCATGCGAGCTCCAGCCACGCCATTCCCCGCCTTTCCACGAACGCTCGCAGTGCAATAGTAGAACTTGAAGCTTGCAGTTCGACCCGAGGTAGTAAATTCGAATGGCCCAGAGTACTAGTACTAGTAGCCTATGCCTCTTTTTCTTCTGTTGTTACACATACCACTACCGTCTGGGGTGGCCAGTCGAAGTGTTACTATCTCTATGATATTTTGAAAATAACTCGTGACAACAAGTATTCCTAGTAATTTGATCTTGGTCCCGCCTCTGCCTATAGGTACGCAACGGCGGTACTACAGATACACTACACACTCGAGTCTACATGCATGACAGATGGATTAGCACAAAGCCGTTCGTAGGTTTCTGTTTCGAGGGCGAGGTTCATGTTGAATAAGTAGTGAAAAAGGGCACAACTCAGAGAAGTGCGCGTTCTGATGAGGTGGGAGCGTGCCTGCTCAGTAGAAGTGACGGTCGGGGAGATTGACTTCGATACCTGTGTGGAGGAGATGCCCAGTTGGATGAGACTCAGCGGAATGCTGACATCTTTATCACTTCCGCGAACCTTGATGCGAATGATGTCGGCTTTCGGCAGGTTGGAAATACTCCAAAATTTGCGCACGTCGAAATCCAGCTCGTTCTTTGCTGTCATTGTTGCGCGGCGAAGATGCTTGGAACACCGAAACTACGAAGCATTCAGATTCAATATAGCAAGATCAATAAAAAAGCACTCAACTACTTTTTCAGCTGGAACTAGACCATGTGTCCCTGGAATCAATTGTTTTTGTTCCACTTGGATGACATCCATGTGGAGATGAAGTGACCGCAGGTCAATCGCTGAAAGATCAAATAATGACGAGTCACGACAGGAAGCCCTCGAGTCTTTGCTATACTTAGCCGATGAGGACACCCACGAAAATATATTTTCACGAAATGATGTTTCAGATTCAGACGACGATGAAACGAGGTTCACGACGAGTACGCAAGCGATCCGATTCCGATCCCGAAAAGTCCACGTATCATCTCTGATGCTCATTCCACTCTCGTTATATTTCGACTGTTCTATGTGCTACGAAGAAACAAGCGCTCGCTGCACAGATAGAGGTACAGTGAAAGAAATTGAGTCTGCAGACGCCGCCAAGGGAGCAGGCGACGCGAACGGCTCGACTACGCCGCCGGCGACGAGTGAAGGAACACAGCGTCGTGAGTGGCGCGATAAACACATGTTGCAACATCTTCACACGTGTCAATTGCCTGGCTCTGGCGCCGGTTAGAGGTAGTCTTGCTGCTGGCGAAAGAAATAGCAATAGAGGTATCATCTTATTTTGATACTTGGTAGCACTAGCACGGTAGACCCACACCGTATCGTACATATACATTTATCGTCGATCACCTGCAGTCGCTCGTGCTGGCGCTCTCTAAAGATGCATTCATTTTATTACGGAAGCGACAGCTGCGCCTTCGAGTTGTATCCTACATCAACATCTTGTTACCGTTAAGCTTTGCTATGTGACCACCACACCTCCAAGGAGATGCGGTGCCAGGGTCTTGTGGTGTATAGAGCAACTGAGCGCCCTGTATAGCCTAATTCATTCGCCTGCAAAATAGCATTACTTCTTCATTCCCATCCTCTGAAGAGTGTATCGTATTTTTATCAGTACGTAATGCTAGTCGACGAGTAGTTCGTACGGTGGCTCGGTAGAAAGTAGCCAAATCCATCGCGCATTGCATTCTTCTGTAAAAGTCAAATATCTTCAGCTTATGGTACAAGAATCGAAATAAGGTCTTCTGTCAAAAGTAGTTCATGAAGATGAGACATTGTTAATGTTATCTGCTAGATTAGAAGTGAAAAAAACGATACGACATATATTTTTTGTACATTCTCATTTTTATTCATCCGAAGGTAATAAAAATATCGGTAAAGCCTTAACGTTAAATAAAAGCATCTAAATCAAGTGAAACAAAAACATTTTTATTCGTGCAAAGTTATTTAGGTGTGGGTGTCAGTCTTCGACTTTAAGCTGTTCATTGTCCGCACTTCAACACGGAAAGCACGTGCTGCGAAGAGAAAACAAACCACAGTCACAGTCTGACTAATCGCAAGCTGCATGTTAAAAAACCTGTTGTGACTAGAGGAAACAAGTATTCGTAGAAGTAGAACAGTTAAGCATCGCTCCTGCTGTTCACCTTTTTGACGTGACCACGGAGTTCTCAAAACCGCCAGTCTGCTCGAGCTTTCCGCCAGCATATCATATTCAAAAGCACGTAGCTTTATGCCATATTACCTCCCGCAGGCTCAGCAAATTAACTATAATTTCTAATAACTAAAAGTCTGGCCCTTTTGCAGATGCGGACGAGTTTGAATGTCGAAAGCGTTGCTTTTGCGAAGTACTCCGCACCCGTGTCGCTCGAGCATGATGATGCGATGTGTTTATCTTCATTTTCATATCAACTACACGACCAGGGAGAAGGAGAACTTAAGCGCACGCATGTTAACAACTCTCCAGACTCACTGAAAGAAAATTCGCATTTCACTCCTTGCTCTTTCGGGCTACGTGTTAGCACATCAGCTTTCAACAAACGAAAACGCTCATGCTCATCCGGGGACATAATTTGCTGTAGCCAGAGAAATATGACGAAAAGACGTGCTTAGTATTAGTTTTGATATCCTGCTGCGAGCCACGGCGCTCCATGTCTTCCCCGGTGTACTTGCCGTCGACGTTGTCGTGGTTGCTTCCGAGTGCTATTGTAGGGGCTGCTCCTACCCGTGTCGCTCGCGGAGTTGATGCGCGAACGCGAACGCGTGGTGTAGTGCCGCCGCCGCACTGTTCTAGGCCTGCTGCCGCTGGCGTACTCGGCCTCCGCACAATGGCCGACGCGGATCTGGTCATAGTTCGCCTAGTGGACTGGATATGACGCACGATATCCTCCGAACTACGCTGCTTCCGCAGCGGACCCTTGGACGACTTGCGGCTGCTTGGTGAACAAAAGGCCACATCAGAACTACGAGTTGCACGACACAACTCATTTTGCCCTGGTGCACTGCTCCGTGAGGACGGAGAAGGAGACTGCTGGGGGTTCCCTCGGACTGCTTTTCCCCCTCCTGCCTGCCGCGACGTGGAGGTGCTTCTATTGTGTTTCCCCTGCGACGAAGATGTTGAAGCAGTTGCGCCCGAGAAACCCCCCGTCGCGCCGAGCGATGCCGCAGTACTGCGCCCGGCAGATGATGCTCGAGAGGACGAAGCGGAAATCGAAATACTGGAGGTTTTTGAACCCGAGGTTGACGCTTCGTTGGAGTGAAAGCCCGTCCATTGTCCTCCTCCTGCACCAAGCATGCCACTGCAGCTCGTGTGCGACGTACTGCGCAGGAACATGTTCTGATGATCCGGGAGACCTTTGGAGTTGTTTGCACTTCTAGACAGTTGCTCGTGTGCGGTCGCTACTGCACCGAAGAGGCTGTTGCTGTAGTTGCTAACGTCGTGCTGAGAATCTTGTAGATGGATGTGCAGCTGGTGACCCGCCACCGGAGCTTTTGCTTCGTTCTTATTCGAACCATTGAACAGAAGTTGTTCGCCAGCAGCAAAAGAAGTTGACGTGGGAGGACCGTGCAACGAAAGAGCCTGCGGAACGCTACCACCATTGTCGTTACATCGCGGTGTCGCGGTCTCGGGCCCAAGTAGGAAGACTGGCATTGAAGGCGGATTTGGTTGAGACTGCGGCTGTTCCTCCTCCTTCATCTCCTTTACCTTCTCGTGGCTGCTGCTGTTGGTACTTGACGTCGAGAAGAGTCCCAACTGCTGTGTTGACATTGACGCACTGGTCCTTGTCGGAGGTGTGAACACAGGACCCGTTCTCGACGATGAGGTCGAACCGTTCGTCAAGGAAAAGGATGAATCCACTACCGCATTTGTTGTTCCAAATAATGTTGTTGAGTTCGTGGTCTGACCGAACAGATTGGACTTCTCGTCTTTTTGCGTCCTCTCCCACCACGGGAGATCAGTTTGCGCATATTCAACGCTCCAGCTGGCCGAGGTAGAAGTGGATGAAAAGGCGAATCCCGAATGTTCCGACGTCGTTTCCGCTGCAACAACTCCGAATATTTCCTGCTGCTTCAATTGATCTCTTTTCTCTTGCCTCCTCTGTTTCAACCACTCCTTCACCTTAGGTTTAGTGATCCAATCGAGGCTGATCTCGGGTTCTTCCTCAGGGGCTGCTAGATGCAGGGCCCCTACTCCGCCCATCAGGCCACTAGCGCCGGATGTGGCCGCGCGGGCTCCTTCCCCCGCCCCTGCCACTTGACTCTCGCGACCGGAACCAGAAGCACCATCATCTGCCGCAGCAGGGAACAATCGTTCCACGGGCTCGCCAACCTGTCCTTGTGCGTTCGCGGGCGGAGCGGCCTGGTTTTTGCATAATGGAGAAATAAATAGCTGCCGCAAGAATTATTTTTATAATAACTCAAACTCTGCACACGATTGTTCATCTGAAACTGAAATCATACTGATATTCACGATATCGATATCGACAAAAGCACAAAGACAAAGAATTTTACTCCAATTTGAAGATAGAGAAAACATCACACATCAGAGGTAGTCATTCGTAAAGTAGAAACGGGGACGATCCGTCGTGGTCCTCTTCAGTCTTCACCAGCGACATCGTGTGGTTAGACTCCTGAGTTACTCACTAGTAGCAGAAAGGTTCACGTTCACCTATCATCCTGTCTTGTGTGTATGAAGTACCTGTCCCATAGACGTGTTGTGAAACTGCACCTCGTCTCTTACCGCTGCAAGCGGCCGCGTCGGGAGCTCCAGATCCGCTGCAACTGCTGTTTGTTGTCTTTGTCCACAAAAGGGTCGCGGTTGACGTTCGTATTTTTCTTCCTCTAGCCCCCCTTCCTGAAGATCCTGGTCCTCGTCCACTTCCGTGATCAACTTAAGGAGGAAGTTGCGTCCCTTTTTGTTGACTCCCTTCCGCGGCAGCAGAAAATTGTAGATTTTCTGCAGCTTTGCTCGCAATTTAAGATTAGAATTAGCAAGCTGCGTTCTAGCCTCCTTTTCGCTTCGCTGGTATGACATCAAAAAGTGCATGTACAAGCAGCGATCTTCTACGAATCTTCATGACGAGTTGCATACTTACTCCATTCGACTCTTCTCGTTCTTCTGTCGGGCCATATCATACGCATACCAAATAAAGTAGATTAAGATTTTCACTGTGCACTTTGCGTTTCCTTTTGTGGATTATATACCAAAATCAATATTTTCTATTCTGTTAGCGTTCTCACAAAAAAAAAGCATCCTCATCCAATTTGTCATGCAGTGCATGCATCAAACCCAATGTTTGCCATGCAAAAAATTGGTAGGGATGGGCGTTGTTTCCAGAAGATACGTTTTTCCGATGCACTTTTTGTTTCTCGTGTGATATCAAAAATCGCAAGTTTTCGTGGTACCGTTGATCTAGGAGTTGCGCTTCCTGTTGTGTGGTTGTTTCTTTGTTTATGTTTGTCACGGGTCTAGCAAGAACAAGAAGACCTCGATCCCCCAATATAGTAACGATACCGTCCTGGTGGCGTTGTCATGCTAATTTTAGAAATGACATCGTGAACAAGAAGGGCAGCGTTGGGGGTGGCGCTTTCCGAACCACCAGGTTGAAGCGTTAGTTTGTCTATGTCTTAGTCTTTCATTTGGAATCGCACAATTAAAGAAAAGCAATATAACAAACTAGATGAACCAATATAATAAATGATGTATGCACTTACGACGAGTAGTTGCTCCGAGGTCATCTTCTGCCGCCGTCGCCGAGTTAGCGCGACCAGAGTTTCATGCGCTGTCTGTGCTCTCGTACCGCGCCTAATTTGGTGCCCCTGGTAATTCTGATCTGGTGCGTTGATGTTTCCGCGGCCGCTGCGCCGATTTGCGTTAGTAGTGTTTGTGCTGCGCCGTTGTAATCTTGGCGGGAGACCTGAAGTAGGAGCACTCACGACAGTGGAAGCCGCCTCTCGCTCCATCTGCTGCGGTGCCGGCTCCCGACCAGTCGATGACGATGGCTGCGGTTGGCGGTAGCCCACCCCCACACCTGGGCCGCGGCTGTCGTTATTTTCACTTGTGGTCGTGCAGAAGGCCCTGGCCCTGCTGCTACTGCTGATCAGCGGATTCAAATTCTGGTTAGTACTCGGCGCGGCTCTTTCTCCTGACGACACTGCATGACCTGCAGCGAAAATGTTGTCCTGTGTCGTGCTAGTTGTCACTACAACAGTTTCAGTCCGCGGCACGACCGCACGTTCACGTTCTCTGGACGGCGAAGGCGAGGTTTTTTCAGAACGCGGTTTGCGAGCGAGTGAAGCAGCACGACGCTCACGCTCCGTCCTACCGTCGACAAACTCCACATCCAAGCTGTCCGAAAATAACCGTGTGGGCGTGCGCGTTGTCTGCTTCTGGACATTTTTTCCCTCTCTGATCCTGCCGGGGGAAACCGACATCTTGTTTGCCTACTCAATGTCAACGTCAAGAAAAGATCAGAAGATTAGAACGACAAGACTTTAAATCTATTCCCATCTCGTCCGGAACCTTGCCCAGATTTGGCGGTTCGTTCTGCCCCAAACCGCCGGACCAACCTTCTGATTAATTTTTCACGACTCGCGTGCTACTCTTGTTACTTAATGCTTATCCAAGAATTAGAAGTTCCTGTCTCCCTCTCTCTCTCCATCAGATGCTAGAAAGAAAAATCTAGCATTCATTCACGATGAATATCCAAATTTTACGATGAATGTAGCATAGGCATAGAAGCCGTGCGAAGACTGTCGAGGCGGAGGCACCTTACGATACGTACAAACCATCGTCAACAATTACAATGATTTCAACGATGATAATTGAATAAACAATCAGGCTTCTCGCAACTCGTCCTTCTCAAGATCGACGACGCTCAAGCCGGGTCGAGAAAATCCTTCAATTCGATGACGATGCGTTGTCGATGTGCTGGTGTGACAATCCGAGAGCAAAAGAGTTTAGAAAATTTGCGCTAGAGTTCGGGTCTTGATGATCGTGTCTGATAAAATTGAAATCAAACTACGACGTCGATGATGAAGGCAATCTGTGCCATTGTGGCTTCTCATCCAACCGCAAAGAACAGGACACAGGTTCAGGAATTGTGCAAATCCTGCAAAAAGAGATAGAGACGAGCTCTGTCGCCTGCAAAAAGAGATTGATCAAGCCAGCAAAAAGGCGCTCGGATGCCGTTATGCGCTTCCACAATCAACTAACAATAACAGCAGACATTTATTTTGGTTTCGCCTTGGGTAACAAGGAAGACAATGACTGCATTTGTTTTCATCTTGTGTTTCCCATCCGATCGGTGCGCACGTCCTCGATATTTCGCGCTCGCCTGAGCCTCCAGCGCCAAGCGTGGCTGGGACGCCGGCGGGGGACACACACAGATTAACACGACTAGTTGTTCAGTCTTCACCGCACAAACACGAACAATTTTGAGCGTAATTGGATTGGTATTTTCTGAACTACAGCATCGAAGCGTTCGTGACCTCATCAACAAGATAACGAGAGCTCACCTCGTGCCAGAGCCTGCTGATCCCTATTCATAGGGACGATTGAAGCGCAGCCCGTACGGGGAAAAGCGTCCTATCCTGTCTAATGTATTCATCCACTCTCTACCGCGACGGCCCTATTGCTTTATCTTTCGCACAATACTAGTAGAGGCTAGCTGCATTGCAGGAAGGCCTTTGAAAGTTACTAGGAATAGGATCACAAACCGAACCTGCGACGATTGCGACTATCTTCGGGTAAAAGCAGCCACCTTGTTACACCGAGCGCGAGGCTTTTCTCGCAAGCAGCGACTCGCATAATGCTAATGACCGTAGCGCAACAAAAATGCGTGTATTAAGATGTAGCGACACGACCCCAAGTATGAGGCATTGTCAGCGCATGTTTGTCGCGGAGGCAGATTCGAAAGAGTTTCATTTTTTTGCATGGTGGAAGTAACAAGTCTAGCTGAAGCTGTTGTAGTCGTAGAAGCCGTTGGATGTGCAAATGAGATTATTTGCATGGCTGAAGATGAAGTAGAGTAAAAAGTTTATCTTTTGTTGATACAGTTTCAATTTCAATTTACGCCTCGCGTCATTGCGTTGTACAAAAATCTTATCTTACATGCCTAAATAGAAAAAGTAAAAGCTAGTAAACGTGTCTTCAATGGTGCACGTAGCATAGCTACAGTGCTGAAGATCATTGTTTCGAGCCGGTACGTACTTCCAAAGCGGAAAAATACGTACTAGCGCGGCATCGGAATCAAATCGTATGCTACAAGTACAAATTTAGTGGGACGTCGTGATACTATCGGAAACTACGAATAAATTAAGGAATCATTGAGAGCTGGGAGGCTACTATTACTACACAAATAAAAGCATAATATATCTTATGTCGCTCAACATTATAATTATCTTCTATCAGGAGCAACAACAGATCCAGATAATAGATGTCGAGGGCGAGCAGGCCAAGAATGGCGTGGGACTAGTAATGTTTGTTGTTGGAGATTGATAAATTTCATCAATGCCAGGCCCCTACCCCGCCAAGAGGTGAGAAAAATAACTCCTGACCTCCGCAACCGTCCATGTGTGCGAGAGGTGGCACTTCTTGTTCCTCTTCAGACTGAGCTGCCTCTTTAGCATCTGGCGTCGTGAACAAGGCCGCCGTCGGGCTCGAGTAATTTCCGGCGCAACTAGAACTACTATTGTTATTCCTTGCAGTCCAGTGTGTTCTTGCGCCGATACTACTAGAACTTTGCTGATGTTGTTCATTCTCATGTTGGATTCCTGTGGTGGGTGTAGTTGCTGTTTTGGTGGTCGGATCCGCTTTCACAAGCGGTGCAACGGCGCTGTTGCTCGTCGAGACCCGTGTCGCATGATTCCCACTCGGGAGGTCCGTGCACAAGTCGTGCTGGTCACTATGGCCGTTCTCCCCACTAACACCACTACACCGCCCATCTGGGGCGAAGAGGGGACTGGCCATGCAGCCAAAGTCCGGGGTCTTCGCTATCTTTCTCGTGTTTTCGAAAATTTCGTCCTCGGTTTTCCTGTGCCTCGCCCCAACCGGAGCCGAAATATTTTGAAGATGCAACGCATCGCCACCGTGAAATCCCAAGCTGGCTGGATTTTTTACTGCTGGAAAAACGTCCGGCGCGGTGATGTTTCTCGCGATTCCAGGCTCTAGTAGTGTAAAATGCAGTGTCGGTTGGGCATGCGAGGGCGGGTCTTCTTGATGTACGAAATTGGAATCAACTACGGGTGCACACTCTCCCGGCGGACTTGGTGTGTTCGGTTCTTGTTGTTCGCTCACGCAGTGTCGAAGATGTTCTACTCCACAGGGAGAATTGTTTGTCATTACTACCAAAGAATCACAAATCGCACCTGCGCCTCCCAATCCCATATTGCTAGCAGTCCCTGTCCCTCCTTCAAGAGCAGAGGGTTCGAGCTCGTTCTTCGCACTGCCCAAGCGCATTGCTCCGGACAAAAGTCCGAACGGTTCTTGATCTCCTGTGTGCCCCAATACATGCGGGCTCGCTCCTCTTGGTGCAGCGCAGAGGAAGTGTGGGAGTCGTGCTTCTGTATGCGAGAGGTCTTTGCAGCCGCCGGGATTGCAGCCGGATGTGAATGCACCTGCACGCTCCGCCTCCTGCGCAACTGCTGTAGTACTCGGCTCTCCTTGCTGACTCACGCTCGCCCGATGTTCATGGGATTCTGCTGCAGATAAAGATGAAGATGATGAGGATGTTGAAAGGTTTGTCATGACTACCGCAGAGACCACATCTGTCGCGGTTGTGCCTCTCATCTTGCTGTTCCCTCGCTCCTCTGATTCAAATATGTTGTTTATTTTCTCGGAGCGCAACTTTGTTCCACTTCCACCAAAAAGTCCTGACGGTTCTTGAGTTCCTATGTGCCCGAGTAGACGTGGTTTTGCTGTTGGTGCTTCATCCGAGAGAAAGTGTGGTAGTTGCACCTGAGACGTGTTCTAGTTTGGATTGAGATGCTATGTAAGTACTAATTGAGTTGTATACCTAGCCCGTATGAACAAAAGATAATGACAATAAGAAAAACGACAACGAGGCTCCGTTTTTGCATGACCTCACATGAACAATATTGGACGAGAGTCCAGTCTTCGCATAGTGCCTACGCATTACAGACCTCACATTCATATCAGGTCTTGTAATCTTCCAGACTCAGAGCCAGACAGATTGGCATTTCGTAGCAGCAACGTTCCCATACAGCAATATGAATACATTGAGATTGAACTACTACACGAGCAAAAAGCGAATACTGTATTGCAGTGCGGCTCCTGCTCCGAAACGCCTGCGCAGGCTCCAGAGACTTCACTTGCTGCTTGGTCGCGTTTGATAAACTTGCGAAGCCTCTCTGTGTCGTAGCCGCCCGTTGCAAAAATTCCTGCTAACTGCTTTCGCTCTTCCCTGGCATCGGCCTTCGCCGTAACGGAGGTGAATTTTATTTTAGACAGCAGGTTCTTGTCATCGACCTGATTGTGCAGAGTGTATGAATCAACAGGGGGTGGAAGACTGCTCGGGAAAGAGGAGAAATACACAACTGGTTACAGGAAGTAAACCTATTCCAATAAATCGAAAACAGCAACAACTCAAACTCAAAAAGCTGCTAGAGGACATGGATGACATCAAAGCGAAAGATACAACTTAGACATACGAGTGCCCCCTCAGATGAAAGTTTATTCATGTATACCCTGGAGCAGAACTCGTCAGTAATGTTCCGGAATTCCAGTTCTTCACTTGCTTTCCGGGCGATTTCTGCTAATGTTGAACTGCCCTTTTTGGTACTGCACAACTCGAGCTCAAGTCGGCGAATTTGGTATCAACTGCAAACATGTCTCGGTCGAAACACTTGTAATACGCAATGGTCACGATTGACGAGTCCGCGTCCGCCTTTAATTAATTGCACTGAAGCGTCTCAAATCGAAACCTTTCGATCGCTTTCTTATGCGCGGCAGCACGCGTTACAAACTGCGACTTCGCATGGTGAAAGAGAAAGTGTGGCGTTCCTTTTGCTGCTTTATGCAATACAGATTTTCCAGAAATGCAAGAAACGCCATTCTTACAGGCTCAACCTATATTCCAGACCCAGAGATCTTTGCAGTGGATATTTGGTCCTTCAGTACCATTCGTTCGGTATCGCCGTCTTCGTTATTTCGCTCCAGCCGATGAACTTGCCGCTTTAAGTGGGTTACGTGGTTCCTGAGACCTTGGGATACCTGTAGTACTTGCTTGAAGTTAGAGTTGCCTAGGTCATAAATCGTTTTCTAATGCTCCTGCTGCAGCTGAGCGACCCACCTCTCCGTCTCGCACCTCATGCTTAAGAAGCTCAAAAAATCAAAATTCTCAAGAAAAAATAAAACGACGGCCGCCAAGAAGAAAGCGCCGGTTGTCACACTCGTTCAGGTGTCAACTAAATAATCTAAGCAAGAAGAAGATGAACAAGCTATATCATCTTACCGGTTAGAACTACTTTTTCCTTTTTCATAGCAACATCACTAGCTCGCAGCGAACAAATAGCATTGGTGTTCTTGTTTGTTTGTTTGTTTGTTTGTAGTTATGCGTCAAGGTGGGAACGCGTTTACTCACCTTTTTTCTCTAGCACATGATCTTCAACTTCTATACAAAAACAATGTCAATACATGCTGCTCGGCAACTAGCTCCCTGCTCGCCTTTCGGAGGGCTCGTTTCAAGTCTTGGATTTGGTCTCTCAGCAACGTTAAAGCGGCATTGGGTTTTCCATTACTCATTGTATGGAAGTGTTAATATCGAAATAGCCAAAACTGAAATAGTTTGTCATGTATAAAATGCAAGGCGCACGTGTATAGTGCGTGTCTTGCGAGAATGGCATCACAAGAGGCCGATTTATTTCAGCCTGCTCAGAGATCATGCACCATGAGCATGACAAAGCGGCCAATCTTCTTTGCATAAGCAGCGTGTCAGACTGGATTTTTTGGGTGGCGGCAAGATTTGTCATGCGCCGCTTCGAAGGTAGGTTCCAACACAAGACAACTGGTATCGGCTTTAATTATGCATGACAAATGACTCATAAATATATTTTCATTTACCTTTCTTGTCTATTTCGAGCCTGAGGCGTCCATAAATCGAAGAGCATCCTAAGCCTGACACCCCGTGAACATTCAGAGTGCGGGAAACTGGTCCAGCTGCAGGAGCTCCTACTCCCGAACGGCCGTGCCTCGACATGTCTTGATGAACAGAGTCTTCTGATGCAAGTGGTGGCGCGCCAGGAGTCCGTGTCCGTGGCAACAGATCACGACCACCAACATAGCCACATGTCGCAAAGGTCGCATCGACGGGGAGGCCCGATATTGTATGCTGTTGCCCAGCACGACCTCGCGTCCCCATCTTCAACTCACACACAACATAGACATCATTTTTTCGTCGGCTTTCGGTGTGCCTGATACTGCCCGAAGGGGGTTTTTCATTTCACATCACTTAAAGGATTTCAATTTCACCCATGGCCAACATGTTCTATGATCCTCTACGCTGTCCTCCTCCTCTGCGCTACGGTTACGGCTCGAAAAGGACCACAAAAATGAACCAAATACTCGAAAGGGCACATAAGTAACCACATCACTGCTGATTACCGATCTTCGGATCTGAATTATTGCTATGAAAATTATCAAGCCAACAGGCCGCGAACCCGAACGCGAAAGCGACGCTCCTGCTGGATCATCAATGAATTGTAGTCGACCACTGCTCAAGACAACACTCATTCGAATTTGCTCACGATTGAATGCGAACGAATACGACACGGAGTGAGCGGTCGAAATCGATTTCGATGCGAACGGAAATAAAGCCAGAAGATGTTCCAGGAAATCAGAGCAGACGAGGCTTGTAGACGACTCAGAGGCAAACCCACGAGAGTGACACGCATTTGAGCATTCGCTTCGCGACGGCTGCCATATGGATATGTATCAGATAAGAGATGTCGGCCCACGTAGCGCCGTTACGTTAGCCGGGCTCAATGCAGCAGTCAGGCAACCCTAAGCACCACGTCGCACACATCAGAACAGAAGGGGTAGACAGTAGTAGTAGATCATGTATTTGCGAATCAAAGTCAAATAATCAAAAGCGTTTGCTAACATTCGTGCTTCGCGCTTACATGGGAGAGCGCGGGCTCCTGGCGTTGACGTTATTTTTTTCCATATTTCTTGAAGACCATTGAAAAAATATACAGTAATTTCTTGAAGAATCTGAGGTTGATTTATTTTGTTTTTCAATTTAAAAATTTTTTTTCATAGCCAGATAAGGATGAGCCGGCTCTGCACTCTGTCCGTTTTTTATTTTTTCTTCTTCCATACAGAGACAGAAGTAAGTGAGCGCGAAAAATAAGCTAATTGTCTACGTTTTTTCAACTGCGTCAGACACGTCCATGAAGAAGCACCAGGAGGTATTATCAATCGAACAAGATCATCATCAACATGATTCTACTTGTTGCACGCCCGCAACAGATTTACGTCAGCGTGTTAAAGTTCGCTACCCCTACCGCCACCCCAGTCCGAGCTGCGACAAGATTGTTCATGTTCACGTCAACACGACGCTCAACTCGCATGTTGTGATCGATTCCGTACTCCTGATTGGTGTCGTAGAAAACTGACGATTGCTGGAAAGTTTGCGCCCGCACCATTGCGCGATACCTACCATTCGATTTCGCGTACGTCTGCGTGTGCTCGTGCAGCGTCTTTTCGGGTGGGTTGTAATCCGCAAATCGCATCAGATGCTTTTGCTCCGGATTATAGGGCGGCTCGGGGTTCACGACGTAGTAGTGCGCCTCCCGCACTTCTCCGAGATATCAAAGGAAAACGGCTTACAAGGAGCGCACAAATTAAGAAATCTTGAGCTGCAAAGCTTCCTCGAGGTGACCTCCCAACAAAAAACGATATGCTGCAAGTTCTGCTCCTGTCAATATCCCACCTCAATACCTATCATAATGCATACACAGATATGCAACTACGAGTATGTCTATGTATATGCAAATATCGTGCCTCTAGTGCCGGTCTTGCTTGATATCTGACGAATTGCACAAATCCATTGCCACCACCCGGAAAACACGACCCTATTCACCAGCGGAATGCTGTCTTCATTCACACCTTCTGGTAGGGGCTTTGGGATGTTGAGGGGAAACTGTTTATGTGGTATCTGCGACGCGTTTCCGAACACCGACGAAAAATCTTGAAACACCTGCTGCGGCATGTTCTGCTCCAGCACGGTTCGGAAGGTCCTGATGAAGTAAGTTTAATCAGTAGTCTTGTGCTATTGCTAATGCGACAATTGAAGCGAATAATAGCCGAGCCCCCACCATCATCCTCGATTCAAGATCATGCACGGTCAATTGGAATTGTTCTCGATCCAATTGCTTCAACTTCTTCTTCAAGTGTTTGATTTGGTGCTGGGTAGCATCGCCGACATCTCATCTACTGACGGCTGCGGAGACCATGCAGCCAGGTGTTGTTAGTTGCGTTGCGGCGCTGTCGCGCTGCACAGCCAGTAGAAAATAGCTTATCACTTATCAGTTTAGCGGCGCGATCTTTTTTAGGTTAAAATGCGACTACCTTTATAACGTTACGTAAAAAAGTAAAAGAACACGAGTTGACCAAACGAGAAAAGGTGCGAACTTCAAAGAAAAATAGAATAAACGCCTACCACGGCAGCTACGACTGCAAAAAGATAAGCAAAGGAAACAAAAACTACCATTCCAGGTGTAGAACGGGCATGATTGAAGCCTGCTGCTACTCTATCTCTACTACCTTTAAGGCGGGCCACGGTTCGGATGTGGAAACGTACAACCCGCAACAGAAGCGCGGGCCTACTTCGACCTATATGGAATGAAAGTTGCGAAATATTACGAACAGAAGCTGCTGCACGATCTAGACTTAGGAATCCTTAGCGGTGGTTGTTTGTCTATGCAGATCTAGTACCACATTGGTTGTTCCTTTAGCTTTTTTTAACTTTTGCGCTAAGTATAGTTTCCGCGTCTTGCTTGATGATTTCGCGACGACCTGGAGATGGCGTCGCCGATAAGAAACTCGACTGCTGGATGCTTCCCTGTGGTGCAGTGGCTAGGTGTAGTTCATCGGCCTGTGATAATTCATCTATATCTTCAGATTTTTCAGGCCAACGCCAGCCAAAAGCTCCTCGCGATCGCGAACGCCTCTCGCACACAATGAAGCGCCCTTGGCCCGGACCTTCGCCAAGATACGTAGTGCCACGGCGGCATCTTCGCAGCTGCGCCCGCGGCGGCCCCTGCCTCTCCTCAAACGAAACGCCGCCCAGCAGCAGTGGCTATCGTGCATTGGCGGACTGGGTTCGCGTCGGTTCCAGAACAAACTGCTCCGTCCAGCATTTCGTACGTCGTCCGCTTTACGAGAGAGGCAGGCCGCGCGTCTCTGCAGAGTCGAGCTGGCGACTTGCATTACCAGACGAACCAGCTTTAGAGCAAGATGTTGCTGGACGACAACCTTCCGGACATAATTTTGTTGCGCAATCCTTCTGTTTGAGAACCACCTCCGGCTACTTACCGCCGTGGTGTCTCGTTCACTGTTGACTCCTGAAGGGGTCACGCTGGCGGAGTGAGCCCGCTGGCATTACAACTCACCGCCTTCTACTTGCCTTTCATCTTAGTTCTCAATACGCAGCTAATAGTGGTCGTGTTCTACAGAGATTTCACATGGCGGCGCCTGCTCGGAGTCATCTCTAAAACTTCGGTGTCCCTGTAGCTTTTCTGCATTTCAGGTTCTTCTACTTCGTATGATAAGACATTATTTATATTGCAAAAGACGGTGAAAGTGAAAGGAGAATAAAAGGTAAACGTACTCGTTTCTCAGTATGATGTCGAGGAGGCCATCTTGTTTGTTGAATCTCTCCCAATACTCCATGATGATATCCCAGAAGCAAGCTGTGCCGCAGATGATCGCAGCGTCACTCCAATAAATCCATATCTTCCAATATCGACATCCAAGAAGAAATAAACTATCCCCACGCAATTTGTCGCGCAAAGGAGCACTAATAGGCAGCTTCAAGGCCAATGCTAGTCAAGCAGAAAATGCATGGAAGTGGGTCGCTTCTGCTTATATGCTGAATGGGAGGCCACAATCACAAGTGGTGGCTAAGTGTGACAAGTTTCTGAGCTTCTAGCTAGGTGAGCATGACAGACTGCGTCTCTGCATCACAGAAATAAAAGAAAACTGGGGCTTTTGGGTAACGTGCATGAGCATTACAGATTTTCTTTCACTTTAGTGTTCTGCTAGCCGAGCAGCATGACAACTCTTGCATTCTTCCAGACCCAGACATATTTGCATTTGAAGATATTTGCGGCCGCGGCCATCTTACAACTGCAATAAGATTGGAAAGACACACACACACACACACTAACGGCCAGTGACGGCACAGCTTTCGTGCGCGATAAAGTTTGTAGACCGTGCAATATCGCAGGAAAAAAGCGAAGGCAGTACTTATTGTCACAGTATCTATATCTTAATTTTACTAATTACACCAGACCTGTTTTTCGTTTCTTCTGCACAGCATGCAGTGGGCCTCTAGCTATTATCATCAACATACTCCCGCCTAGAAGCTGCGTGATGTGACTAATGCAAAGTCGCAGCGCGGGATCTTTTGACGAAGGGCCGTGCTCTTAACGAAGAGCCTGCCCACCTCCATCGTTGGGTTTGGTTTCAACTGCTCACCCTTTCGGTGCAGATGCCTACTTCAGATGCGAAGTGCGCATGCAATGTGCGTGTTGAATACTATATCGCGGAGTTTTTTCACTCGGAGTGAAGATTTTCCTCGAACCTCTACCAACCAAAGAAGAGCGCCCGAGTGTGTGATGCACGTTCTTTGAGACATTTGCAAGCCGGAGCGTTTGTGACGATGCTGCAATGCGACGCACTGCCTTCTGAAATCCGATATATAGAGGAGAAATGAGTGAACACAGGGAATTGGAATACTCCTCGGCCCAAGAAAAATCCCCCTCGTACTCCTGTGCCATGCCAATTTATGAGTGTGATGCTCGCTCCTTTTGTCATCCTTAAGACACTTCTGCGCTAGTTCCCCTAGTGAGGAACCAGGCTTACGGACGCTACGGGTCCGTGGGGTGGGTGCACAAAGCACAAGGTGCGGCATTGAGCGCCAGATCGATCCTGTCGGGAGATGGCAGAGGACAAGGACCAGCGACGCTACCAGTACCCCTACCCGTAGGCCCAAGAAGGAGTCTGCTAATCACAATGTGGTTGCAAAAATGCGCGTACGCCGGTGAGTCCAAACGGACACCCCCTAGGCTGGGCACTACACTTGGTCTATTCATGAGAAAACGGCTTCTACGGATTGCCACTGTCACGAGGATGGGAAAATAACCCGCCCGAACACTACAGGCCCCGAGGGCCCGGCCACTGGCTCTCGGCAACTCCGCCAACCAGTTGCAGCAACGTGCATATTTCTGCGATATTTTGCGGCAAGGGCAACAACTACTTTGCCCGGACGACGGGGCCCAAGTCTTTCACAGTCGCGCCACCGTTCGTCCTCCGGTATCAAGTGCAAATATGTCTGGGTCTGGGAGATTGGGGTAGTTTCAGTTTGTCATGCGAAATTGTACATGACAGACCCACACCACGTTGCCACCTGTAATGCATGCTAAAGAATCACACCTCTCGGAAAGGGTTGATTAATATGCCCCTCCTGCATGAGAAGTGCGCTCTTGCGGTGGCAAAAATCTAAGCGCCTGTTGCTGCTCATGCAATGCAGTTTTTTGTAGTTGAGAAGTTGCTGCTCCTGCATGAGAAGTTGCTGCTCATGCAATACAGTTTTTTGTAGCATACAAAGGTAGCACCATCACAAATCTCGTTTTTTCCTCCAGAGGACCCAGACATATTTACAATGCATATCTGGGCAGGTGTGGGTGTCGCCATGCGCTCGATCTGTCGTCTCTTGGATCAATTTCACCGGTTACAGGTAGTTTCTTGCTCTGAAAAACTAAAACGCCGGCGATACCTGCAGAAGTATGCGACATTCTTCTACCTCCTGATAAAAAGTATCATTCTATTCCCATGGAGATTTCATTGTCATGCAGATTGAAGCACAACAACATATTCACCTCCGGTACCAAGAAACTAACAACGACAAGGCTCCCGCTGCGAACTTTGAGGGTTCACTTTGTGCTGTGTGTTTTCCGTCGGAAGAAAAATCATGTCGATCAGCGTGAACATCCATTCTTCTGGTAAGTCCGTATATGCTTCTGAATACATAAAGCTGCATTCCAAGCAAGGGATTTTTCTTGGCGGGTGCAATCACAAAAGAGCGCCACTCTTTCTCTTTACATACATATCACAACTCAATGATAGTCGAGATCGCACCTCCTTCCCATCGGTAAGCGTATTTGGTGTACTGCGGGTTACGCGAGAAAAAATCTTGTTCCGGGTATAACGCAAACAACTCTTACAGTTTTGACCGCGTATTTCAAAGCGATAGCTATTAGCACAATGCCACGCATCAATGCAAGATAGCTCCTTGTTGCACTTGGCAACCGCACGGGCTTTCTCCTGCAGATTGCTAGTCCTCGCCTTGCCCCTTTTACTTAGTCGCATTGCACCTGTTTCCAGAGCTTCTGAGCCACTATCGGTACTGAGTTAAGCAGGTCTACACAGCGGTCGGTATTTTAAGAGCTCGCTTTGACATTGATCATTTTTTGGTTGAGATTGCGTGTCTGTTCGCACATATGCAAATGTAAAGCATGTTTATATTTGTAAGTAGTTAAAAATCTGAAGAGTTATTCATGGCATATCTTGTGGTGCGGAATCTTGACCGATTCACCTTCTTTGTTTGTCTTGAGGTAATACAGAACCTTCGTCAATTCCGCAGCATACTGGTCGTTCAAAATATTCATGTCATTGTTGCCTTCACCAAGGGCCGCGAGGGTCCCGTTCTGAAGCGCTCTGAGTATCTCGTGGAAGACCTTGTCGACGACCTGCAAGGAAGAATATTAAACAAGATTTGTGAACAAGCGCACGAATACCCTTTGTGCATTGATCTTCGAGCTGCACGCGAGGGAAATATCAAAATAATAAAAATATCCTTTATCCGTAAAAAAAAATAGACAAGAGCGTTATGGTCACTTTCTTTCATAGCGACAAGAAAGTGATTTGCATCATCCTCATCACCTAGCTGGGCCAGGGTACTAGAAATAAAATATAAATATATGTGACATCGCCTCACAAGTGATTATATTGATACTCAATGAATTTTCTTGAACGAGTACGAGACAAGGAAAACGCGACGAGCCAGAAAATGAAAATGTAAGATGAGCTACAACATCATTCACATCATATAGAAATACCTCGTTGAATTGGACTCTTGCGACCACCACTTCTGTCCTGAATTTGTCTTCGTTGAATTTCTCCGGAGTCGGACCGCCGTACGATGCGTCCCTTACCAGGCGCTTCAAGGTCTGGCCCATGTTATCCACAGCAAAAAAAAACACCCCCATCCATATCGTGCAAGACAAGCACAGGAAATTGACTGTGACTTTCCCTTTCTGCACTTTCTCCTGCATGACAAAATTGTAATTGAATGTCGGTGGGTTCGTGTTTTTTTGAAGATAGGCGGGCAGCGACTGTTGGTACTTCACGATCTCCTTGTGCGAGATACTCACTAGCATTATGGCCTGAAAATGCGGCCACAGACCACACGCAGAAGATCACGATCGAATTTAAATTGAAAGTGGCCGTGTCCATGTCCACAAAAGAAAAAAACTGACCAATGTTGTGTGTATCATTTTGATTTTCGCTTTTAGAAAGATTGCAGTTTCTTCTAGTATCATGCATGTGCTGGAAAAGCAAATCAAATCCCAGCACCGCATCCTCTTTCGCTGCAAAAAAGTCAATGTAGTGCCATGCTGTAAATTTCGCGCGCCCTTGTCACAAGAACGTGTTGGCTACACAATTGGGCGTATTTGTGCGTGTCCTCCAAGCGTGTGAATGCGTCGATTTAAGAGCGTAAACCCCATCAGCGTGCTGAAACGTATTGGCCCATGCTTGTTGACCAACATCTGCTTGGCGGACTTCCCGAGTATCATCAGGTGATGGCACAGATTCGCCCTCCCTCTCTTTAGCAATAGCTCGGTCTCATCTTGCTGGGAGAGGAGCTCGCCAGGCCTATAGCCCATCTCCAGCCCTTTTTCTTCCTCTGCCATCTTTTACCTACTTAAACACAGGCGGTGGAGCCGGCCGTGGCTTCGCTTTTCGCCACTATAGAAGTGCAGGCTTCATCAAAGACAAAGACGGGCAATAAACTCTTGCTACAATCGCAGCCGGTATGAAATGTGATCAAGAAACTTCATTACGGAGACGAGTAAATACGCCTACGAAAGAACAAAGAAAGAAAAATACCAACACTCACGCACCCTCCATAATGTTGATAGCGAGGAGGTGGTAAATGTGTCATCAGCTTCAACTGATTGTGATCCAAGGCCAAAGAAGTGGTCTTCCAAGCATATTAGTGTAGTTTGTCTCAGTTTAAATTTCATTTCCGTCCGAGAGCAAAGAAATAAAAAAACTAACATCAGGGTGAAGGACAAGAAAATGAAAGAATCAAACGCCAAGTGCTGCAGTCATTCACACAGAATCAGAAGAGAAGTAGCTCTACCTAGGCACACAGACGCCTTGTAATTGTATACATCAAAATGGAAAAAAAATAAAAATTCGTACTGCCCCCCTGCAGGAATTGGCGCGCACCCTTACGTATGGCCTTTTCTTCTCTCATGAACACCTGTTTTTTTACGCTTGTTGGATGCATCCAATTAAACCTCAAATCAGAATCAAATCTGGCTTCACTTTTCGATGTTATCATCTACATCGAAGCTTTGCTCAAATGATTTCGATTTTGTCGTTCCCACGATGAAGTAGATCGTTTGTCTTTACTTCCAACCAGCCCTGGTGATCTGAATCAGCTGATGCAGATAGTATGCTCATCCAACTCTTCAGCTACTACATACATGCTGGTGCGTGAGTTTTGGTGAATAAACGGTAAGGGATAAAAATCTTGCAGCTTTTCGTGCTGTTGTCCTGCGCACCAGTGCTATCACTTAAATTTCTTCGGACTCTGTTTTAGATTTACGAAGCGGGCCGCAATATCCACAGGCGAGTTTCCTGAAAAAGAAAACCTCGTAAGCAATCTCTCCAACTTTGCAAACGTACTTGATCTGAGGTTAAGGTTCCCACTGCCCATCATTGCGCGTGCGCGGATGCCGGCGGTGCTGCTGCTGGTGGTGCCTCTATTCACATCACTGAGTGACGACGCAATGCAGCAGCCCGGTGCGTACCAGAGTCGGCGAACGCCAACTGCCTCCACTTTGTAGCAATCTACTATAGACCTGCAACGCAGGCAATGCAAACGAAAAGCACGACGGACCCCTACCTTGTCATGATGTTACTTATATTTTGACAAGCGATCATCCATTGTGTCTTGTTTTTGTAATCTTCTTTCTTGTCTTTTCATCCCCTCGCTTGCTCGACACGCGCGCAACAGCGCCCAGGTGGGGCTGCCTGCGGATCGCATCTTATGGCCTCACCCTCTCAACACCAGCGTCTCGCTCTCATAACACATCCGGCAGGGCACCATCGCGCCCCTGCCACAAGCTAGAGTTGAGGCTTCGCTTGGGCCCTTCGCCTTTGCTCAACTTCACATCCCCAGGTCGCTCAATCGCCTTACGCTCAATGACTAAAATGCAATTAAGCTGAGCTGCGGAAGGCGCATCGACTTGGACCTCGTTAGCTGCCGTCGCAGTGTCGCAAAATGTTCCTCTAGTGCAAGTGCTCGCCCCGCTCCTTTCTCCCCTCTTATGCCCATGCACATCGCAAGAGGAGGTACGTACGCCGGAACAAAAAGAGGCGCAGGGACCTGGATACGCGAGAAGCGAGCCGCCCCTTTGGGTCGCGGCGACGTAGTTGTCTGGCCTGGTTAGACGTGTCCACGGAAAACATGCCTTGGGGAGTCCAGGATCATAGTGGAAAATGGGGGCCCGACTGCCCGCGCAACGACAGCGACGGAGCGGAAGGATACCCAGGGGGAGGTGGGCGAGGCCTATCCCGGCAAAGCAACGAAAGGGCCCCGGGCGTCGCCCCCCCCGCGCCGCAGTCGAGTCCGGCAAAGACATCAACCGCGCGGCCCACACGGGCCGCAGCATGTGCCTGCGCGCGCTATTCACGGGGCGCAACGGCTGCGCCACCTGTGGGGCCTAGCTTCCTGGCCCGCCGCGCTGGCTTGGCGGTGGCGCTGGCTTGGCTAGCTCGCTCCGCTGGGTGCACAAAGCACAGCCGGCAAACCACGGGGCTGCAATGCTGGCCCCGCCGCTGGCGGCCGTGGCGCGGTCAGTAAGGGCGCGCAGGCGCCGGCCGAAGCGCCGGCCGGCCGGCCGCCGGTTGCAGCACAAAAGCGGGCGGGGGGCGCGCGCGATGGGCTTGCCCCATGCGGCGCCGCGCCGCGGTGGCCTCCCAGTTGGCAGCGCCGTCCAGTGGGTCCTCACTAGTATGAGTTCGCCGCGTCCTGCTGTTCTTTCATCTCTCGCACAGTGGGAGAACGTACCTGACAGCGCACACGTCGGGGCAGACGATGCCGAAGCAGTGCCAGCGGCCTCCCGCTGCCGCTTGGTGGCCTGCTTTTCGCTCTCTCCCCAATGGCCGCCATGAAGCCGCGACCCAGGCGCAGCGCCCAACTCGTCGCCGCTGTCCGTCGACATAGTCTTCGATCTTTGTTTCTACGCAAAAGCTGAAGCTTCATGTAAAGTAAACGAAACCAGTGGCAGAATTACTTCTGGAAGGAACAACAAAGAACAAGAAGGGCAGCGATCACGTTGACTCTCCTCCCCAGGCTACGCAGGTCAATCTCGTGCTCTCAGAACTTTGTTTTCCACGAATTCGTATCAGCCGTTTGCTATTCAAAATTCCCACCAAAGATCACGTCGCGACATCACATGCACATACTAATAGGGAAATTCATGAGAGTGACGCTTTTGAATAGGGAGGCTGCGTAGACGTTGAATAGTGTGGCGAGGAATTAACGCTCGGGCTACGCCAACCTGGCTAAACTTTCACGAATCAACAAACAAATCAAGTTCCTTTTTTCGTGCAGAACCTGCACTCACTCTTGTTGATGGTAGACGAGGGGGCACTTTTGGTTCGATACCTCAGGATGCACGAGCACGTCAAGCTCAAACAAGAACAACACACTTGTTAAGTAGTGCTTGTACTTACAGCGTTCTTCCAATCGTGTTGAAAAAGACCACCAAGAAGAACGGCCGAACGAAGGAGGAAGCACGAGCTCAGCTCTCGCCCGAAATGCATTCCACGTAAAAATGACCTGCGAGTGCAGCTCTGAAATGGGAATGGTGGCGTAAAAATGAAACTCTCGTGTGTATCGATGTCTTGCAGCCAAAAAAATCTGTCGAAGTTTCTTCATTGTGTTGAATCAATTGTGCTGGACTCTTTCCTTTACATTTGCTTCGCCGTCAACCACCTCTCCGCATCCAATGCTGCTTGTGCTCCACTTCCAGCGGAAGTAATAGCCTGACGGTAAACCGGGTCCGCGACGTCGCCCGCTGCGAAAAGCCCAGGGACAGTAGTTTGCGTTGCATAAATCCCAGCTGAAGTAGTAGATGTCTGCCCAGCGTGTTGAAGTCCACCTGCTGTTGACAAATACCCCTCGTGCTTCCCTTGAAATCCCACCTTGCCCTGCAGTACACCCGTGTTTGGCTGGTGGCCAATCGCGACAAAAGCCGCATCGGCGTCGAGCAGTTTCCGGTTGCTTTCCGTACTTTGTGCCAACTCCTCCGAAAAAATCTTCGTACTTTCAATCTCCACGTTGCTCAGCGCGCCGCCAGTTAGCGAGAGAAACTTGACCACCCGGCTGTTCCAGTGAATTTCCACCTGGTTCTTCGCCACCGCGGCGTGCACCCGACCGCTCAAGGCCTTACTCGCTCGGTGGAAGGCGTCTCGACGGTGAATTATTTTCAAGGGGAAGGCGCAGACCCGGAGTAGAAAAAGCGCCTCCTCCATGGCAGTGTCGCCACCGCCGATCACAACGCACTTTTTCCCGCGGAACAGAAACCCATCACAGGCAGCGCAGGAAGAAATCTGATTTTCATTTTGATTATTTTGTAATTGATATATCCAGCTCCTGAACGATATTCATATCAGTCACATAGACCGGACCAATGTCATATGTTGCATATCCTGGTTACTTATATGTAAAAAATCAGTACTCCCTTCCCTCGCAGTTCGTACTCCCCCGGTACGTTGAGCCAGCGGCTAGCAGCCCCAGTGGCGAAGATGACGGAGGAGGCCGAGACCTTCAAGAGCGTGTGCGAGGTCGTGTTTTTTTCCGCCATGTCCTCATACCGAAACATGTCTGACGTCAGCGACGCGGCTTGGTCTACCGTGCCAGCAGCGCCGCTACCCTGCACCTCCAATGCATTCGTCAGTTCCTTTTGCAGAGGTATGAAAGGAAAACGAAAAACCCAAGTTGGCACGACGGGATTGAATAATGCGTATTTCACGTAAAAAAAGGAAAATGTTTGGTTGTAAAACTCATATTTCATTTTTGGAGTTACCAGAACCAAAGTGCGGAAGTTTAACCCAGTGCAAGGCTAGTTTTTCGCTTTCCTGCATAGCAGAAACTTCGAAACTCGTACCACTTCCGGCACTTCCAGGTACAGTGATGTCGTTACAGTATCCGGTGAGAAACCGCACTCCAAACGCTTCCGCCTGGAGCCGCATGTCCGACACCATCGCGACACCCGTGGTCCGCTCCAGCGCCGGGTAGTTTTCCACGTCCACGCCTTTGCCCATGAGCTGCCCAACGTGGGTGAACTTGGGCGCGACTACCAGCGGGCAAAGCCCCGCCCTCGCAGCGTAGAGCGCAGCGGCTAAACCCGCGGGTCCGGCCCCGATGATGAGCACTTGCTCGACGGCATTACCAGCTTGCGCTGATGAAGTAGAAACGCCTTGCAGCGAAGAAGATGTCGCTGTCCCCACTGCAATCGCGCTGTCCTGCAGCTTGTGGTCATTGCCGCACTTAAAAGGGTCGGAAGCTGACGTTGCAGAAGTAGATTCAGTCTGTGATACAACGTGTTCCGCCCGGTACAGCGCTCCTTTGAGGTCATACTGGTCCTGCTGTAGTTTCGTTGCGCGTGTGCGGATCTCGCGTCGCAGCGCCTTCAGCGTTTTGGCGAGGTCAGCGTCAGAAACTTTTCCCAGCTCCAAGGAGCCAGGAGAAGCACCCGTCACGGCTGCGGCGGCGGGCGTACCTTGTTTTCGAAATATTCCAGCACGATTTTTTGAAATAATTGGTAAGATGTATCTTTCTCCTCGCGGCCCTGAGCTTGCTATGATACGCTCCCCGCCAAACCAATGCGAAAAGTTGAAGTTCATGATCGTGCAAAGTCGCGCTTCGCTACAGTAAACTGTCTTCCCAAGAAGATGAATCCGCTTTATTTATACCTTTCCCTTCCTGCATGGACATTGCTTTTTGCACACCTGCACCTCCTGTAACTGGGGCCAAGTTGCCTAATTTACACGCCTCTTCGACCATTCTCTCCAGCCCCGCCGTGTCTGCACCGTCGACCACCAAATGCGGAATGACGGCGTTACCAACCACCGCACGGAACGCCGGTAACCCTTGCACGCCGAACGCGTCTCCAACATCGGGCACGGTTTGTACGTCAATGTACAAAAACTGGATTTTTTCCGGGCCGTACTTCGTCCGGAACTTTTCCGCCAACAGCTCAAACACCGGCGCCATCAGTGTGCAGAAACCGCACATCTCACTCCCGAAATTCACGATGCTGACCATGCTGCCCCCGTTTTTCTGCACCAACTGCACAAAGTGATCGGAATTTGCCGCGTACACAATGTTCACAGACGAGGGGGGCTTGACGCCAGGAGCGGCGATCGAGCCTGCTCCAGGGCCTTGTTCTGCACCTTGTACTGCGGGCGGCCCGGCGTCCTCCCTCCCGTAGCACTGCTTTCTATGTTTTGCGTCAGGTAACGTGGCCCATTGCTGCGCGTCGATCAGAAGGACCTCTAGAGATTGCGACGCGTGCCACTGCTCGTACGGCGGAACGGTGTTTTCCAAACATCCCGCTGCGACCCACAACTTCGCCCAACAGTCGGGCCCGACGTTGGTAGCGCGCGGCAACAGACCCGGGCAGGGGAGGTCAGCAGCGGATGCAGCTGGGCCGGCGGGTGAACCAAGGCCGGGGAAGAGCGCGCCGGAAGCAGGTGATGGTGGTGCGGCATTACCAGGGTTGACGTTGCCGCTTAGCTGTATTCCGTTTGGTGTATTGGGCGCTCCGGCGCCGAAAGACGATGGCAATGGCGGTAGGTTGTTCATCGCCAGAGAGGCATGGGCAGACCGAATGCAGCAGTGGGGTATTATTCCTGCTGCTGCAGTAGCCATGCAGCGAACCACACGGGACATTTTTGCCGATCGACGCTGGAGCCATTTTTTGTTGTCCTTGCAAGAAGAAGGCCCCCGTGAGGGAGAGCTTGACTCTCCCCAGCACTCGGTCATGGTCGAATACGTTCTCGGTGGCAGGACCGAATGACTCAAAAATGGATGATGAACAGATTTGGGGCTGCTTTTCAACACGTTCAAGATTTTTCGGGAATGCCTATCTATCGATCTACGCAAAGGAAAACACTACCACGTAGGTATAAAAAAACAGGTTTTGAAAAAAGCAAGATTTAGGCTGATCTTCGTTCAAACACAGAGCCAGCACGCTTCTGTTCTGCTTCTGTCTGACTGCGACACGTTCCAGATACGCACACGGGACGAAAGACGGCCTTCTTACATACACTGACACGACAGGCCATCGCTTGCACCAGTAACATCTGTGGAACATGCAATGCATGTTCACCTTTTACAACACAAAAAAAAAAGAAGAAATTTTGACGCGGAATCGGAAAGAACTGAACACGAACAACAAGTGTTAGGCCCAAACTGATTATACCGACGACCGGGTAAATCAGCCCCTTGCGATTACAAAGACGAGATCCACATTTGCATATAATTCAGAGACATGGTAATTCTCTTGTTCTTCGTGGAAGTGGATCTTCACTATACTGGAATTTCCAAAATTTGGTCTTGCTCTCGGTCGCAGGTGAAGCCGCATTCTGCTAGAAGTACACTTTTAATTTTTTTTTTTGATTCATCCTCTTCATCATACAATTGCGATTTACAGTGAAACAAGGTTGGGTAGACCACAGCCGGCTCCTGCCTGAGGTCGCATATCACTCGGAATCCGCCACCAGGTAAAAATCTAGATCTACTAGTACTTAGCTGCTTTTGCCAGCACGGCGCAGATGGTGTCCATGTTTTTCTCCAGCACCTTGGGAAGCATGCCGGACTCTGCAAGCATCTGCGCGAGCGGATCGTTTTGGCCGTGAGGTCTAGGCTTTGCTTTGAACCGTTTCCGGAAGATGCGACCCATTTCCGGATTGCGGTATCCACCTGAAAAGCATCCTACTCGTAATATGGCATACAACAACAACATTGCTGCAGTACTGCATGACAAATTTCCTTTCGCGCCTAAATGTAAATCAGTAGAACTAGCAAATACAAATTCACAATTTGACTTCCCCCCTTGAAGAAAGTTGCAATGCAAGAATCACTACCAGTAAGATGCTCTTGCGGTGGATATGCGATTCGTGGTTACAACGGTTGCGTACTGGTTGTTGAGATTGATCGGCGCGAACAGCCGCGTACACGCATCGAAGGGCTGCATGGAGGAAAGCTGCGGACGCTGCTTATGCAATACAAATTTCCCGCACATGTACAAAATGCATGACGAATTTCGCTAATTTGGAGTGTCAAACTTGTCATGCTAAACTAGGATCGAAGCCAAGTTTTGTCATGCAGAGACCGCGTCTGCACGTGTACTGGAAAGTTACTGTGGATACTGCTTGAAGGAATTGGCCTTCATGGACTCTATCAGACCGTCCATCAGCCCATCATAGGTCAGGTGCATGGGGTCGGTGGTTGTCAGAATCTCGACCAGTGAGGTAGTGAGGGCGCCGCCGCGCCGGCCGTAGCGGTCTTCGCCGCCGTCGGACGATGTGGCGTGGTCTTCGCAACCGGAAATCATCTGGTTTTTGGGTCAGTATTGTTTATACGGATAGGGATGAAGTCATGTAGTACGTGTAGTACACGTTCCCGTTTTTTTAGAGATATTTTGTGCCTGTAGGTCGTCGTGTAGTGACACTGTCATAGCAGTCCTTATCGACTCTAGCTCTACTTGACCTGAAGATCAAGAAACATGAGAAGCACACTGTAAAGATTTGTTTATGTTTTACGCAAATATCCGGTCTGCAGAAGAAGGGGTTCGTTTCCTCCTGCCACTCATTGTTGTGCCTCACCCACTTCCACGGCAGATCCATAGCCGTCCCGCTGTGACAGGCGTCAATGATGCAGGTGAGGCTGACGCCTTCCGTATTCCGTGAAAATTGACCATCCCCATCCACTTTGTGCATGACAAACTACAGAGGACTCTACGCCTACCTCTATGGATGTTTTGCATGACAAACTGGATAGGGATGGTTAATCTTCAGGGGGTATTCCGGCATCCGCTGCACCAGCTTCTCGAAGATGATATCATCGGTGACCATGCCACTGCGCTGAAAATCCAGTGGCAGGAGCGTGTCGTTCATGCCGTCTTCTTCAAACCCTTCAGGATCTTCCTGTTGCGACCCGTGTCCGGAGTAGGCCATGAAGAGCGTGTCGCCCGGCGCCGCGCCGGCTGCGAGCCAATCCATCTCACGCAGAATGTTGTCGTGGGTGGGGGGAGCTGGGGTTAGTGTCAGCAGGGAAGAGGAAGTAACAAGAAGGCATACTAATGCAGATGCAATAACGATAGCGACGCATAGGTAAAGGAAATTATAGACGATAAAAGTAAATGTGATTCCCATCATTTATTTGCTCTTCTACGGACATAAGAGATTTCTAATTTGCGAAGCAACCAGAATCAATTACAATTGTTTGCTGTCAAATAAAACAAACGCATTGTACTTCCATCCTCGGTCAAAACGTGGAGCGAGTTTGGGTGCCAGCCAAACCTTTCCGTGAGCACCGAGTAGATGTTGTGTACGTCATTGATGCACCCCTTCAACTCCGCTTTTGTTCCCCGGTAATTGATCCCAATCAGCAAGCCCTTGTAGCGGCCCGGCGTGCAGGATCGGTAGCCCTCGGTCCCGTCGAGAGCAGGGAGGGCGTGGACTCGCTTTCCAAGCGTTCCTTCGTCCCCGCTCGCGTCACTGTCCCCGTGGCCTCCACCTCCACCACCGCCGAGACACTTCATCAACTGTTTCATCTTCTGGAGCAGGAGCAGTCAAACTAGGGGTGGTGCGTCGCGGACTATCTTGACTTGTAGCTGCTGATAATCCGCAACTTTCCGATTAAGGACCTCGACCTTCCCTGCTGGTGAGCCACGCCGGGTGCATGCGCCCAAGCTGTGCTTTCGATGCTGCTCCGGCAAAGGCTGTTGCAACAAAGAACACCACAGTTCGTTCTTTAGTTGCTGCTGCTCTCTCGGTGCGTGTAGTTCTATGACTTTCAAGTTGCCTAAGTATGCGAAAGTGTTCTAAGTGGCGCGACCCCGCCTACTGCTTCGCAATGAAATTACATCCTGCTTCTCCTGGTCCTGGTAAACACAAATTTGGAGTTGTGGTCCGTTCATCCTGCGGGGCGATCTGACTCAGTTGTGGTGGTACAACATTTCCCGCTCGAATCGGATGCCGACAAAGGTTTCCTCTCATTCTCGCGAAAAACACGCCCGGACCCGTCTTCTTTTGCAGGAGATAATAACTGAAAGCAACCCTAGGCACTCCACTCCCTCTCGCTCCTCATGACGCTGCGTGCCAAATGCACACTTGGCCGAACTCCTTACAGTGTCCTCGCCCTGCGCTTCTTGCGCTTTTTCGGCGCCATTAAAAGTAATCTTTTTTTCATTTTGGTCTCTAGCCAGCATCACAAGAAACAAACTTGCAATGTCCACAGAGGGGCCTCCCTCACGATGCCGACGAGGCCGAATCTTTCATAACCCGCGCGGCCTTTCTCTCTGCGTGCGGCGCGCCACGGAGGCAGAAACAGGACATGACACACACCGAATGGCGCGCCAGTCAGGAAACAAGCCAGCCTTCTCCGGACGGGGCGACGCCAGGGTATGAATGCGGCTACGGGAGAAGCACCCCCATCACGGGCAGGACGAGGCCCATTTGCGGCGCGGGTCAACGAATGCGCTGGCGCCGCGCGCACTTTCCACTGAAGGCCACGGCGCTATGTATCTACCAACCGGGCTCGCTGGCGGGGCGGCCGGGGCCCCGCCCGTTTCCTAGCGCCGCCCATCCAAGTGTCGGCCGCCCGGCCGCGCCGCGCTTGGGCGCTGGCTGCGCCGCCCGACCGGCGCGCGGGGGTCACATTGTGGGCCGGCGCCACGGCGGCCTAGCTGGCGGGGTGTGGAGGCGGCATCAAACGCAGACCGGCCGGGCCAAAAGTGCCGCCCGTCGCTCGGGGCCAGCCGACGGCAAAAAGCCCTGTGCTTCGAATTACCGCCAAGCTGGCGCCCGCGCCCCATGCCATGCCGCGCCATGCTGTGCGCCCCACGCCGCCCCCTTCTCGTAGGTGGGTGGCCGCCGCCCGGCGGCTGCGCAACTCTTGCCAGTGGTTTTCTATGCCTCGCACTCGCTCCTGCCGGTGGTTGCGTACCTCGCGCACGCTCTGCCCCGCCGACTCGCTGCGGGTCCCTGGCGCAACCAATGACGCGCGCGACCAGACACTGTGCGCGGAGGGCGTCCCAGGTCATGGGGCGGATACGGATTGCCATCACGCTAGGAGTTTATCTAAAATGAAAATCTATTATCTTGCTGATACGCCCGGATGGAGAAACAAATGCAAAGAAACGGGGCGCGATGCCTCGATAAACACCAACCCCGACGCTGGGCTCTCACTCACTGACCGGACCAACCGCTTCTCCGTTTCTCTCATTCGGTCCCCTCCGTCGGCTACTCAGAGTCAATACTCAACATAAATAAACCGACCGAAAGGAACTCGTCTCCACAAAATAAGCCTCGCTATCCACATCACGCACAGCCCTGTTAGCCTCGGCTTGCAATCATGCGCCTCTTTTTGGCTGTCCTCACTTTCTCTCAACCACGAGTCGGCTTCCAGACTTTCGAGAGCAAGGCGATCATGCCTACAAGGGCGTAGCATTTCCTTTTCAGCGCACCAGCTCATGCCTTGCTTCCTACCTTCAGAAGCCCTACTTCCGGCGCACCAACAAGGCGCCCAATCCCACTTGTAGTTTGGAGGGCAGCAGCCGCACGGCACCACCAGGGGCGGCGGGCTGCGCTTCAAAGGCGGCCATACCGCCAACCATCCACCCAGTGGTCCGCCGGGAGGCCCAGCAGGGCTGGGACTGCTGCCGTGCGGCGCCGGCCGTCCGACCGAGGTTGCCCGAGGCCGAGACGGCCCCCTCGCTCGGCTCCCGCTGCGTGCGCAGGCCTCCCGGCGGCGAAACACGGAGACCGCGCGCCCGCTCCTAGCTCCCCTGCGCTGCTTCCCGGCAAAGCGTTCCGCGGAGGCGTGCGCGCGACCGCAACACGCGGGGGCGTGGCCATGATAATGCATGGCGGGGCCACTCTATTGGCCCAGCGGCGCTGCGAGACGGCCGGAGCCAGTGCGCGGCCCGGCCGGCAGGCCAATCCTAGGCCTAGCACAGCACTAGGGGGGCGCGTCTCGGGCGGAAAGCCTTCGGGCGGAGCCCAGGGGCCCGCGCCCTTGCAGAAAAGGGAAGCAAGGCGGTCGAGGCGGCGGCGGGGCTGTCGCGCGGGTGGTTAATTTATAAAAACCGTATACGGGGGCGCCTTATAAAAACCGCATACCGATAACGGGGGCGCCTCTCGGGGTCGGCGCGAATGCCGCAGGCCGCGCATTCTCACAAGGCGACGGCGCGGGTGTCCTTCTCGCCGTGGTCGTGCTCGTAGGGAATGCCGCGCGCGCCCAGCATAGAAGTTGAAGCGGTCGAGCCGCCGCCGGTACTGCACGGCTTTCCACTTTTGCGGCCAACACGTCGCTGCGCCGCCACGATGATACAAGGAGCAAGAAGAGGACCCATTGGTCGCTACCTCTCTGCCACGCCAGCAGTTTCGCTGGCATGGACACTTTTTGGATCGGTCGAAAGTATCAACGTCCCTAGTAGGCATAGGCATTCGTATTCACGGAGAAGCAAATACTCCGAAGAGGACACGACCATGCGGAACAAACGTGAAACAGGTAAAGAGAAGCTGCGTTGTACGTAATAACCCATCAACAATTAATATTGCGATTGCCGCAAGACTCTTGCGCGGCGCTTGCTCGTCTCTCCTCGCAATCGCGCTCAACAAGGATGAAACACTGTGTTTTGATGTTGTAGACTCAATAATCAAAAACGCCCTCGTCACCATCGGGTGCGACCAATGGCCGTGGTTGTCAAATCTTGATGAGGCACCGATGCAAAAAAACAAAATCACGAGGAGGATGCGCTACTTACCATAATTAGTGGTCATGGTGCACGCTGCTTTCCTCTCTTGCCTGCAACGAGGTGGCTTCTCGATCACAGTTTCATTGTTTGCTGCAATAACAATAGCACGCGTGGTATGTGTATGACCACCAATAGACGAGGGCTCGTCTGCCGTCTAAGTGAAGGCGCACCCCACGACATCCATCCGCTGTGCAGTTGCAACGAAGCAATACCGTGCACAACCACTGGGCCGAGTTTCTCGCAGCCAACATTTCAACGGGCAGCTACATAATCTCAGCTTGAGCTTTTTTTTTGACTTCATATGTTTCATTTTTTTTTATGTGTTCATCCTTCCAGCGAGTGCGAGAGTTGATGAATATGATATCAAAGTGCTACGAAAATCAGTTGTCATAAATTGTAATTTGACCAGCATACTCCTAATCATACACGAAAGATCTTCTATCCTCACGAAGATCGTATAAAACCAATTGCAATTGCGTTTCTGTTCGTTTTTGGTTGCTACATCCATGAAAATAAAAATTGTATTCATTATCATTATTGCGATACGAGTATTGTACATGAGCCCCGTCTAGTACTCCAGCTGCTTTAAACGTATACGAATTTATTGAATTCCTTCAACCTTCACTCCATCCACGTCCACTCCCCACTCAGTTCGAGCTGCAGCCCTTGCACCTCCGCTATGGGGTACTCAAATGTTACATTCTCAACTGTTACGCAATCTGTAATACATGAATGGCAAAAGTGAAATGCAAATGGGGGACCTTGCGCGTCTTGCATGACAGATTTGGCAAAGAGTATCAGCCTGCTTAGTCCTCTGGGAATTTGTCATGCTAGGCAGCTTGATCGCAATCGCATCGATTCTGATTGTGATTTTGCATGGCAAAGCATGCAACAGTTGAGAATGTAACAGTTGAGAACGCCATATCTGCGGAGATGCTCAGGGTTGCGGCGTGAAACGTGTCAAAGGTCCGCTGCACGTTGTTGTACTTCTTTTCGGTCTATGCATCACAAAAGTATCTTCGCACTTGTACTTCATGCATAACAAACCTGGTTCCCCAAATTAGTTTAGCATCACAAACTCCGTTTCAGTTTCTCTTACTGGGGAGGTATTCTACCACGCAATTGCTACTAGCGCGATAGTACTTTCGCACAGGATACGATCAAGTCGTCGACAAAACTTCGCACTTCTTCGTCCGCGACTAGCCTGGCCTGCGACTCGTAAAAGTCCTCCAGGTATCAAGTGCAAACATGTGTAACTCTGAGTCTCAAAACCTCGAATGTGAAATTTGGGCATGATGTTGGCTGGAACAACTGTAAGTGTGGCATGTGCAGCAGCAGCCAAGCATCATGACAAGCTTTCAGGCCAATTTCTGCTGCACACTGCGCATTTTTACAGCTTGCGTTTTCTTTTGCACGGCGAAGCACGCTCCTGCGCTTTTATCGTTGTTCATCAAGCAGTTCAGAATCAGACCTTGCAGAACTGCCAGACAACCAGCATGTCAAGCTCCAGTTTCCCAGACTACCTGGCCATCATGTTTGCACTCCATACTTGATCCTCCGACCCGGGACTCGTTCCGTACGTGCCAACCCCGGCGAGGCCAAACAGATGGTGGCTATGCAATGCAAAAGTATCGTACTAGCATTGCATTACAAATTCCCGCAGCATTACAAATTGAGTTTGTAATGGTGATTTACGTTGAAAAAGATATTTGTAATGCATAAACGCAATTACTACGAGTGCGATACTTTTGCACAGGATAGTGGCTCTCCCCCGGCGAGTTGTTCAACATCCCACCGTACTGCAGCAGCGGCGACCCCTTCAGCAACGGTGATTGTTTCAGCAACTTCGTGGTGCCGCTGTTCGGATGGTTGCTGCGCTGCTGTTTCAGGTACTGTTGCGCTTTCACCGCCCGCGCCTGGATCCGTTCCGGGATGGAGGCGGTTTGAAATTCCTGGTTCGTGTTCAGCGCCGCCTTCCGCCGCAAGTCCTGGGACCGCTTGCGACTGGGGCTCGGGCTCTGGTGCTGACCACCGATCATGGTGCCAAGAAATTTCGCGGTCGGGCTCGGACTCTGCTCCGCCAGCTCTAGCTGCACGCCGCAGTAACTCGACTGGTCCCGCTCGACGAGACTCGGGTCTTGCGCCAACAAAATCTGCTCCGCCGGCGTCAAATGTTGATCTTGCTTCGGATTTTTACCGTGCTTTCCCTTGCCCTTGTTCAATGCAGTTGTAGAACTAGAACTAGTACTCGCTCCACTGTGCAGCGCCGCCCTTGCAGCTGCTGACGAGCCGTGGTTCCGCGTGCTTGTCGGATTCGCGCCCGGCTTTTGGTTGTGCACAAAGGCGGACTCCAGATCGGACTGCATCTTCCGAAATTCCTTGTACATTTTCCCGAGGCTGCGGTCCGGATCGACTTGTCTGGACGAGCTGCTTTTTGATGTACCCTTCGCACTCTGCAGCAAAGAAAGCTTCAGCGACGCGTTCTGTGGCTGGTTACCGACAGCACTCCCAGCCGCTGCAGAAGTAGAAGTTGCTCCTCGGGTCGCGAGGAAGTTGCTGGCAGCAGTACTCGAGGATGATGATTTTCCTCCATTTGTACTAGACGAAGCGTTACTCAACCCCGTTGCGGAACGCAAAATCGACTTCGTTCCTGGTTTAATACCATCGGGCTGCTGCAACGTGGAGCTTTGTCCACCGCTTTCCTCACCGGACGTGACGGACTGCTCGTGGGCATGAATCCCCTCCCGGTTGTAGTTGAACAACTCTTGATGAAAGTTGCTGAGTTCCTGGTCAAATCCTGTGCAAAAGCATCGCACTAAGCGTGTAAAGGTAAACGCTGTTCCTGGATCGATGCCAGCTCTGCTGCTTTTTATTTTTTCACTAGCTTAATCTGCACCACAAATTTCATAAGCAAAATTCCTCATCCGAGCATTATTCCAGTACACTTACACGATCTACCATGCAGCTTGTTAAGCTTTTGCCATGCATAGATCAGGTGACACGATGAACGAGGTCCCGCCGGTCCCGGTCTCGCTTATGGATGTGTCAGAGTTGAAATCGACAAATCGACAAAGTTGAAATGATTTGTCATGCTAAACCGACCGAAACCACAACACAACCTGTAAGGGCACCTCACCGCAGATGGTTCGGCCACCAGGTCGTGGAGTCAGGCGGACCGAAGCCATCACCATCATCCTCGGGCACATGATCCCACTTACGCCAACTTTTCCTTACTTTCGCACACAGTCCTCACTTCGCCAACATGCGTTTAGCGTTCGCCAACGATCCTTACTTTGCGCCAACAAACCATACTTTTCGCCAACAAGTCCAACTTTTCGCCCACTGAGTACGTTTAACGTTCGCCAACGATCCTTACATTGCGCCAACGGATGCGTTTATTGTTCGCCAACAAACCTTACTTTTCGCCAACAAACCAACTTATTGCCAACAGAGTACGTTTAACGTTCGCCAACGTACCAACTCATTGCGCTCACGGACTGTGCAGGAGCCTACCAGGCAAACTGCTATAAGGAAGCAGCAGCCTGCAGCTGACTCCATGCATACGAAAATTTGCTATTCGGAACCCAACGGCCACCGCAGGCACAAATACAGTCTGCGATGAGGTTTAGAAAGGTCCGGTAAAATTAGGAGGTGCAGGTCCGGGTTAATGCACCTAACGCCGCGCAGTCAGGTGTCGCCAGAGAGTATAATCGCCGCAGATATGCTGGGGCTCGGGGCACCAGGAAAAGTTTTGACAGATGAGAGCGGGCCGAGAGAACTGGCAGCCTCAACGGCCTTTGACGCATTGTATCAGTGTCATGACCAACACAAAATCACAGCAGGACCGCAGAATACAAACGATGCAAAGGCCAGACGCCCCGAGGGCGATAAAGAGGAAAAGGCGGTCCCGCCAACAAAGGCAAAATATCAGGGACAGCCGAGGCGCTACTACCACCTGTCTCAGTTCATCTGTCAATTGGTAGTTACATAGTGGTGCCCGCGCGCGTGTAGCCGCAGGTGGCTGAAGGCTCTTGCGCGGATGAATGCAAGCACGAGGACGTCGTGCAGAGAGCAGGGCGCCGCTGAGGCCGGGACGTAATTGTAGAGAGAGATGCCGCTCTAAGCACAGCGCGTCGTTCTCAGCGGTCGGGTGCCGCGGGTTATCGCACTCGCCATAGCGCCGAGACGTTGACGACCATCTGCTAAACGTCGATGGTGTGGTGATGAGACGGGGTTGGAGGCGTGGACAGTCCCCGACTGGCTACGGATCGAGGATGAGCACCATGACGACAGGGACAGCGAGCCTCTGCGAGAGTTCGCAGAGATCGGATCGAGTCGAGTGAGTGGGCGCTCCGTCAGGACCGCTCTGTCACGAGATTGACAAAACCTGCGGCACGCCCCCCCCCGAAGGGCAGGGTTAAGAACCTTCGCCGTGCTTGCCCTGGATCGATCCGCCGGTAGCTGCAGACCCTAGTCCCGGATTATAGCGACGCCCATCTTGGACTTTATCTCGTTTGTTTTTGCCCGGGGTGACCAAGCGCTCCGAAAACGAAAGATCGATAGCGAGATGCGAGTTTACGTATGAGCGTGCTGCACCGGATTGCCGTAGATCTGGATCGAGAAGGAGCTACCGAGTCAAGGACGGAGAGTCGAGCACTCCGAAAACGAGAAACCGAAAATGAGATACGAGCTTTTCTTTCACGTGAGCGCTCTGCGCAGGCTGTGCTAGTAGGTCAAGATCGAGAAGGACCCACCGCGTCAAGACCGAAGAGTCGAGCTTTCCGAAAAACAAACGACCGACGTCGGGCACTCCGGAGACACAGGAGTGCCGTAGATCAGGTTCGAGAAAGAAGTACCGAGAAACCGCAAGCGAGGTCCGAGTTTGTCATGCATGTGAGCGCTCTGCGCTGAGCTTCCTGCGCGGGACTGCCGAGGATCAAAAACAGTTTGGAACTTCGAGAACTTTTTGAGTCAGAGTGCTAAACCCGCCGCGCTGTCCACGCGATTATGCCGAAGTCTCCTGTCGAAAAGCGCCAAAGTTACCGACTTCGCTCGGCGGGTTAAGGACAGCATTTGCCACACAGGTCGCAGCCATACAGCGTCCTTGCATAAAATGCGATGCAAAAAGTGACTCCATTGCAAAGGACGCAAGGGAGGCAGATTATAGTCCTGGTAAGGGTCAAAAGTTGGACTGCTGACTAGCATGACAGAAGGCAGCTCTTTTGCCCTAAACCGCATGACAGACTCGCTTCCAGGACCGGGAAAATTTGTCATGCACCGACTACAAACTGCAGGTCTAACTGGCATGGGCATCCATTTTATGCATGACAAATTATTTCAACTTTGTCGATTTCAAACCTGACACTCCCATATCGCTTTCCTCCAGCTGAATGCGCACCGTCTTCTTTTTACTAGCGGAAGCGCCACCGTTTTGCTCCAGCAGCTGGATTGGTGACAATGGTTGGTCTTTAGAGGAAGTTGTTGGAGAGCCAGTTGATTTTCTCGCCATCCAGCTATTGCGCTGCTGCTGCAGGATGGCCTGCAGAACCTGCTCCGCCTCCTCTTGGCGGCGTAGCGAGTCGGGACTCAACTCCGGATCGCTGTCAATTGGGATCGCTGCTGTGCCGGCGGTATTGGTCGGATCTGGTGGAGGTTGGAGTTCAAATTTGTCACTTCTACTCCTCTTGTTCATTACAAACATACGAAAGATGGCAATGCGATCTTTTATGATGCTGAAAACACTAAACGTAAATCTGAAGCTGCCCACCGACGACGTCCTAGGTGCTGTGCTCGATGAAAGAACAAACAATACCCGTGGCTCCTGGATAAAAACTCCCCTTCTGTTTCTCCCGTTCCCGTTCCAGGAGTCGCGTCTGCTCCAGGTTGCGCAGGTGCATCGTCAGCTGCAATTTGATTTCGTGCAGGAAGCATTCCAGCTCCCGGTCCCGGTCGTACCACCAGCTGTTAAGCTTCTCCAGCAGCGAGTTCAGCTTGGTCACGGGGTTTATTATCGTTGTCGATGGTGTTGAGGAAGTGACGGAGGATCCTGCCAAGCTTCCAGCTTTGAAATACGGGACGAGCCAATGCGGAAGTTGCGAGGACTTGTCCTTGGTCCGGCAGATCTTGTCGTAGTTGCGGTACAGCCAGTTCCACCCCATGCGGACCTGCTTCTCACTGTGCTTGTAGAGGACAAATTGGTACACAAAGTTCGGTAGAACCTGAAATTTTAGACTCAGGAGAAGTTCTCTACACCTAAAAACCATTATACAAATAAACGTTTCCGGGTTTTGTTCAATTTTACAAATCAGCGCCCTAATCTACGAGCGAAATCAAATAAACAATCAACCGAGTCAGGCGATGCCTTTTCAGACGAACAAAACCTCAGCGATGCCTCGGAATACCCGCCGAAGTATCGCAGATTGATTTTGCAGGAGCTCGCTGGCCTTTCAACAGACAAAACTTGTCTGGCAAGAAATCGGGCAGCTTCTTCGGTTCATGGGGCTCGCTTTTTTGTAAAATTCAGACTTAGGATGACAATTTTGGATCCTCTCAGACCCAGACACTTTCGCCTTGATGCTGGTACACGAGAGCCGGAGTCTAGCTCCTTTTCGAATTCAATTCGCAAAGGAGCTAGACTCCGACTCTCCCAGGTTTTTGGGATTTTCGTGTCATCACATTTCGGCCAAAATGACCGCTTCCGGGTTTGCGCCGGATTTGTCCCGGGTTTGCAAATATTTTGTAAATATTTTGCAAACATTTTGCTATTTCCTGACAGCTAGCGCCGACCTGTAATGGTCGATATCTTAGCGCCGAAAAAGCACCCGAAAAAGTCGGGCGCTTTGCAAAATATTTGCAAAATATTTTGCAAATCCGAAGCAAACCCGGGAGCGATCTTGCGTTCGCTTTCTCGCTCCTCTGTAGCATTCACGCAAAGAATTGGCTTCTATAAATCTGAGCTGTGGAAAGCGCGCAGCACCATCGTGAAACATTTTCAACGATGTGCGTTCCACGGGCGCACTGGCACTACGCAGTCGACCTTACTAGTGGTTTGCTGTGGAGGTAGATTCTAAATGAGGACGAGATAGAGCAGAGAAGGGCGGTCGCTGATGGAGACCCCACCTAACACAAGGGGGATGAAAAGAGGCAGGAAAAGTAGGCCCCCATGGGAAAAAGGTTCCCCCATGCAGTGCAGGAAGGGCACCTATACTAAGGGGTGCTGAAAAGCATACCTCCTAAGGGCTGTTTTGTGGTGCTTGTGTTTTCTTTCACTTTGTAAAACTGCACAAAACCCGGAAATACAAAGATGCATAATGGTTTTTATAAACGTCCTGAAAACACGACGCAAGAACTTCAAGTTCTTGCGTCGTGTTCTTCTTGGCCATTTATTTTGTACTTGCTTCATTATCGCCAACAGCATGCATCTTTCTCGTTCTCCTTCTCCATGTAGAACAGTGGATCTTCTAGCTATCAAAAACAATAACAAATTAAATTCTTCTACCTCTTCAGAGTGCAGCGTGAATTTCCTTCCCATCGGCAGGTCCTTGATTTGTTCTTGGAGCAACGCTTTTTTGATTTTCTCCGGTAAGTAGGAGAAGAAGCAGAGCTTGTCCAAAAAATGCGCACAGTGTCGTGGAATCAAATGGTCGTCTGCGCTTTTCGTGGAGGAAGCCATGGGGGACGCGAGGGGAATGGGTTCCGTACTAGCTAAACCATCTTCATTGCCATCAGCGAGACTGAGATCATCCGGACCTGTAGCACCATCTTCTGTTGCCGCTGCAGCTCTTGATGCTGTGGGAGCACAAGCAGGGTTCTTGTTCCGTTCCTCCGGTACAACGACCTCAACATCGTCGTTGGCGGATCCGAGCAGTTGTGCCATGATGTCCGCGTCGGAGAGAAAGTAGAAGTTGCTCTGACTCCGCCGTGCCACTTGGTCGGTGCCGGCGCCTGGGGACTCCTGGTCGTCGACAACTTCTTCAGCGGTATTCTTGCTGATTTTTCCGTCATCCTCTGCGCCAGCGTCGCCCTGTTCTTGTTGTATACCAACATGACCTCCCGTAGAAGAAGTTATGCCGGTCACTATTGATGCGTTCTCTTTCTCCTCGTCCGCCGCTGTCAAAGCGTGCATGGCGTCCACGCGCTCTGTTATTCGGTCGAACACCGCACGGATTTTTGGCACCGGATCCCCCTGAAAACCCGTGGAGGACGCGGACGATTTGCTAGGGCCGCTTGCTCCTGCATTTTTAGCACCATTTCTCTCCTTCTGCTGGTGCTCAAAGCCGGTCGACGCTGTCGTGGGCGACGTTGCAGCTGGAGCTCCGCCACCACGTGCTGCAACGGCGAGTGCACTGTCGGGGGTCTCGCCTGCTGTGGCGGCTGCTTCAGTCTTCGTGCCTATTTCGCCCTCGGCACGCTGGAACCGCTCCTCTTCATCCTCAAGCTTGAGCAGGAAATCCATTTTGATGTCTACTTTGCAACTTACGGAATTTCCATTTCGTTTTTCTCGCCCACCAGACTATTTGAAACCCAATGGAGAATCGATCTCCCGGCTCCATTCAACCAATAACTCACACAGATACGGAACTAAATTTTCCACGTCAGATATTGATGCTGACAACGACTTAGGACACTGAGCTGTCAATTACCTCCTCTGCTTCTCTGTGCTGCTGCTGCTTCTTCTAGATTTGCAAAAGTAGGACAACAATCGCACCCTCCTAATACTGTAAAGTGGCGTCTTCGCTCTTCTACTTGTTCTAGCGGGCGCTTACAGCTGCGTTTGCTCTCGTTTTTGTTTTCTTGCACAGCGTGCTCCCCACGCAACTCAATCTCAAACTGTACTAGGCCGCCCGCCGCCGCATTTCAACGCGCCGCCGCCTTGCGGCAGCATCTCTGCCCCCTGTTCGTTCCTACGCGTTGCTGATATGCTGCTAGGCGGCTCGTGAAGGGTCTCACGACGCTAGATTCGTCCGTATCAAAATTTCCTGGCGTGACCACATCCTTCTGCGCGCATGATGCAGATGGATCTATGATAACGATAAGTTGGTTGTAATTTCTGGTGTTTCTCCACCGACGAAAATGAAACGCGAACGATTTCATCACAAACTCATGCTTCACGATATCCCGGCTGGTCCCGAGAAGTGCATGGGCTCCTTCATGATGACATCGTGGTTTTCGGCGATTAAACGACTTGTATCCACAAGCGGACGTGATGCTGCACCCGTGCCAAAAATCCCGGATCCTCCTGTCACTGGCGCCACACCGCTCGACGACGACCCACCAACCCTATCGGCAGAAACCGATCTTCGTCTGTTCTCGGAAGTTGTGCCGCCACCAACAGGAACAAACCCTGAGGACGCCGCTCCGAGCTGCAGTCGTTGCGTTGCGGTATCTACGGTAGGTGGATTTGGTTTCTGCGTCAGCCCGTAGAGCAGGGGCAGCTTCGCGTTCGGATTACTGGAGTGGTGTTGTGTTTGCTCGGCCCGTGTCACGTTCGTCACATCCGCTATTTTCAGTTCGTCTGCCAGAAACCGTCGATCAAACACCCGCTGTTCCGGGTGTCCGCTTTCGGACAGAAACACGGAAAGCGTGTGGTACTGCTGATTGTACCTGACAATGTGGGTTGCACTCATGTGAATGCTGTGTATGGCTATGGGAAGAACAAGAAAGTTGAAATACTTCCTGATCGGATCTCAAAAGTACAAAGAATAAGAAATGCGCATCATCTGCTTTACGCCCTGTCTGCAAGATCAAATGTATCAAGACAAGAACTACAACCGCGATCGCAATACTCCAGGTATTCTCGTATCAATTCGTTGATCACCAAGTTTGCGGAGGGAATGGCAGGTCGCTTCGCGCTCTTTTCGTCCAGCGAATGAAAAATTTCAGACTGCACTTTTGCCTTCAATTCGTCCAGGATACCCTTGCGCTCCAGGCTCTCCACAAGAGCCTCCTTCAGCTCGAGAAGGGACGCCATAGTTTTCCTTTTCTTTAGATTTCGGTTTGTTTTGTAGTTGGTGCTTGATGAACTTGTCCTCGCACTCAACTAGGAAAAATTCATTTGCAACAACCCACCGGACTCGAGTTCATCTCACCCAGCGACCACGTTTTGGTATCGTACCTGCGCACAACATCAACCTCAAGCTATCTCACTTTCGTTCAGCTGTCGTACTGTGCGGTAAAGTTGTACTCCTCAATGGAAGAGTATCGCGCTTTCTTTGCTGCCGAAGAACAGCAACACGGAGCCAACCAGCACTACCTTGGACAATCATGGTTTTGTCAACCACAACCTTCCTCGAGATTGCCCTTTGCAGTTCGTTTCTTGTGGTCACGCGACACGCTTTTTTATCTTTTTGTGGGAGTGCTCTGCGACTGCCACGCAGGCACATTCCTCCGTGCATCGAGGCTTCCTAATGTGGAAATCGATTTGCTGCAACAAATTTCCACGCGGTCAACAGCAGCGAGAGGACTATTCTTTTACGTGTGAAACTTGACAAGCGTCTCAACATTTAAACATGGAGTCTATCTTCATTTTTGATACAAAAACGCTGAATCAAATCGGGTCACGCTGAGACTCTTGCTTCATTTCAAACTCAGAGGTGATACCACGTCCACATAGTGAAAAGCAAAAAACGCGTACAGAGGCTTTACTTTCTTTTGATGGTAGTCCTCGACTCAAATAGCACAGCACTCGAGTTCTTTTCCGAGAAAAGCTGGCATCTTTCTGTTGCGACAGAAGCATCAGAAGAAGCCGCTATGATGAAATTGCAAAACCTACCTCTAGAAGTTTGGCCCAGATGTGTTCTGTAGCCATCGTCGTGTTCAAAAATCGTAAGAAGATATGATAGGGTAAAGTAATCGCTTAGATGCGGAATTTAGTGTACATACTGAAAATTATGCGTTCTTCTAAAGAGTGTGCAAGAATCTAAAATTTTTCCGATTTTTAGGTGGTAGATCTAGGAATAGAAACACCACTTGTGGTTGTCCTCTCCAGTTGCTTTATTTTCGACGACCAGCCCCTTTCGGACCTCCGCCTCCATGTTCCTCTCACACGTACACGTCCGTGGTGGCCTTCTCGCCGACGATCAAAAGCGACAACGCCGTCCCCAAGGAGAAACCGAAGTCGTGAAACTCCTGCTTTTTGTAGTGCGCGATGCCCTCGTTGACGTCCTTGTAGATGGAGACGCCGTTGACCACGAGGTCCTGCCCGACGTGGTACACGAACTGCTTCGGGTGGTCCAGTATCCTGTGCGAAAGTATCGCATTCGTCGTGGTAATCGCAGTCATGCATTACAAATCTCCACTCCAAGGCAAATCAGCATGACAAATTCCGTGTCTCATGCTCAGCTAAATTTGTCTTGCGATATATACTAGTACGATACATTTACAATGCATATCCAGGATGTCCAGCGCAGCGATAATCTTGATCAACTCGTCCTTGGTGGCCTCGCAGGCCGCAGCCGCGGCTGGCCAGTCCGTGCGGAGCGCTTCCTGGACCATCTCTAAGGCCTCCAGCATGGCGGTCTGTGGTGTCGTGGTTTTAGTAAATAGAGCAGAGCTTGTTGCACTAATCGCACAGGAGCAACTGACATTCAACACTTCAGACGTGGTATCAAGATAAACGCGAACTATTTATTGAGTTCAACGTGAATAAGACTAAGACCACCGTCGTGAATATCACTAACACTCGACCTAGTAAGATTAAGAGATTCTTCACCAGAGCTGCCCCTAAACTTTTGTCATCTACGTCCACTTCTAAATCGGAGTAGAACTAGGTTTTCTAAATTATCCGAGTTTATTCATATTATACCGGCGTCTTTTTCTCCATCAGCTCCACCGCTTTTTCGAGTTTGTCCATGACTGCGTCGCTCGCGTCGATGCACTTCTCCTCCAGGTTATGCAATACAAATTCTCCATCTTCCCCGCACACGACGACCACGACGGAGTCAATACATCACAAAATTCTTTGCACACTTAAAGTGCACGACCATGTCGGAGGTCCCATGCTATTAATAACAACGCTGCAACTTCTACACTAGTTTTCATCTCTTTATGCAGAAATAGCCGCGATGAATTTTGTACGTGTTCGAGTTCGAAGTCGCGTACCTGTACTACGGCGGGAAGAACAAGTTTGCGGCAGATAAATGTGCAGACCAAATCCCTCGGACAGGCCGATCAAGGTGTCGATCACTTCCTGCGTGCGGTCATCCTTCAGCTTCTTCCTTCGGTTTTCGTCTTCCGCGTCGACGACGGTGGCCTCCATGGCGATTCCGCACGCGTTTTCGCCCGTCTTCACACGGATGTAGCCTTCCTCGCCCCAGTCTTCGGCCCACTGGTTCTTCACGATCCAGTACTCACCCGCCTTGATACCGACGGTTTGCACGCAATGGTCGAGGTCGGTGCCTGATAAGGGTTTTTTTTTTTAATTATCATCATGACCATAATCATCCTCCACCCCATCAAGTTGTATCTTGAGATTTTTTCCATTTCGATTTATTCCTCACTTCTTGTTCTTCTACGTCACGCATTTTTGTCGCGCATATTTATTATGATTGAAGATCGCAAAAAACAACCTTACCACACGTGCTCGAATCGACCACGCCGCCGAAGTACAGCTGCCACGAACTTGCGTCGACGCAGATGCTAATCGGGGACGACAAAATGGCGGAATACATATCATCCTCTCCAAATTCATCCTGACTCACAGTGTGCACTGCGTCGAGCTTGACCTGATGATCATGATTTTCTTTTATGCGTGTCTGAAAGGAGTGAAGGTTAGCTCTTTCCTGCAATTTTAAATTTTTTGTATGCCATACCGAGCAGCCAACATTTTTCAGTGAAAGTTCATGCGCCATGTGAAGACACATCTAGAAATCATCTGCACGTCAAAAGCTCAATACTGCGTATTCGCTGGGATCCGCTTTGCACGTGCCGCGGCCGCCGGTGTCCCCGGACACGTAGGGATAGTCCGCCTCGGTCTCGACACCCCCCGTCTGTTGCATGTATTCGTAGGCAGTCGTCGTGTCGCCACCATTACAGGCCAAATCCTGTTGGTCACAAGAAACTGTCTGCTGAGGGGAAAGGATCTTCATCTGCCCGCTGGCCTTCCAGTACCTGATCATGATTTAGCATCATAAACCAGTTTTTGTTCTACTTTTATTTGATTGCCGGAAGACAAGTTAATCATTCGCAACGCTCGACCGCGACTTATTCCGCTTTGTTTCAAATTCATTGTCTCGGCGGCACGAAAAAAACACTCCATTTAAAAGTCGTCAAACCCGGTTTCCAATGCCTCGGTGGCGGAGAAGGCCCAGCATGATCCGCATTGTCCTTGGTTTTTCACCGGCGTGACCAAAGACCCGACCTGCCGCCAGTCGATCGAGCCGGAGCGTTTTTTGAAGGTCTTTTTCGGGAACGGCTTTCTGCCGGGCGTCTTGCGGAACCCGGTGTGCTTCACTTTAAATTCTTGCGGTGTCAGGTGCGCGAATTTCTGTTTTGCAATGCATAGGCATTAATTGAAATGCATAGTGTACTGGTTATGAGTCACCGCACACCATCGGCATGCAGACGAGATAACGTACTCAACAAAATGCGTCAGACGCTTTTTGGCGGCAGTAGTTTGTGTCAGATACTTTTTGGCGACGGTGATACTTGAATCAAAACACGACGACTGAGTGCTTCACTGCTAGGTTTTTAAATGACAAAATCTTTCAATTTGCGTGCATATTGCACGAAGTCAACTTTTTTTTTCGGCCTCTGATAGCATCGTGTTCATCGTTAAACACAACGGTGTACTCCAGCACGACGGCGCACAAACGTAAAACCAATGAAACAACTTCAACTTGACGATTAGAGTTCTGATATAAGGATAAGCTACCCACAGCGCGAGCTTTTCCCTCTTGTTCACATCACGTATTTCCAACTATTTATTGCAAACCACTATACCGTGATGCCGAACTGCGCCTTCGACTTGCTTTTCTTCGCCAACTGATTGGCGCGTTCCAAATTTTCCAAGAAGATGCGAAAGCGCTTCCCGTCTTCCTCCTGGGTGTCGAAGTGCAGATTGTATTTCCTCTTGAAAGATTCGAACTTTTCCCATGGCGAGGGGGCTGCGGCAGTAGTTGTTCCTGCGTCCGCAAACGAACCCGACAGCAACGCTGTCGTCGAGAGCAACGTCCGAGAACCAACGAAACCGGGCATGTTTTTTCTTGTGCGGCCAATGAATGAACTTTGACTTTATTCAGTTTGATGGTTTACAACACTCTAAAATAAACAAATGCCTTCTGCGCAGGCAGGTCTTACTCGTATGACAGTAATTCAATTAAATGCGTACTTATGCAGGAGGAAACTCCGGGCGAGCTGCTTCTTTAAAAAAAACGAGCAAGAAAGCACGACTTTTCTGAGCCAGGATCAGAAGAAGAATGACTACACCCTGGCGGCATCAGAACCACGAGTGAACAAGTGGCCGTGAAGATGACACAGACACACGCGTCGGTGTGACGCGTTTACAAGGCGATCCAAGCAAGTCGTGGGCCAGAATGCTCAATGAGTTGTTTCTTGGAACCGGACGAAATCTAAAGAATGGGTCGTGTTCAAATCATACAAAGATATGTCGACAGCAAGTAAGTTCGCTGTATTCTACGTCGAATGAGCGCGACTCAAAATTCGTCGCGATATTTTCCATTTGCTTGTGCCTTTGAAGCCGTCGAATGAGCGCGATTTTCGCGTGATTAAACAAAAATACGGCTTTCAACCTAGCATATAATTCAAGAACTCGTAATAGAACTCGCTAAGGAAAAATGTCGTTGCCATACTCAACGAAAGAGCTTCGTCAAACTAAAGTATCTTCTCTGTCACTTCACCTCCTTCTGTCTCTTCCTTTGCCTTTCCCCTTACCACCTTTGCCACCGGATCCTTTGCGCTCCGCTGTGCGCGTCGCCTCCGCTTCGTTGATGAAGAACAGTTGCGGTTCAATGCGCAGCAACACGCGGAGAGTCTCACCGTCCTCGCCGCCAGTACGACTGTGAGGGGTTGTGACTAGAAACTCACTCATCATCCCGTAGGGAGTTTCTTTCCAGGTCAGATCTGGGTGAAGTTCGCGCAGGATGAGTTTGTAGATTTCGCACACGTCCGTCGGCTCCTCGCTGCAGTACGCCCTCTTGCGAATGCATTTCGGGCAGTACTCGGGCAAGTGCTGGCCGTGTGGATGGTGGTCCCAAAACACCTCCGCCTTGATTGCTTCCACCGGTTCCTCGCATTTCCTGCAAATCTGCTTCGGCTTTTCCGTTTCGCTCACGTTTGCCCACTGCTTCCACCGGGAGGCGGACGACGAGTTTTGATGTTCCGTACTGCAGTACCACAGCGTGTGCAGGCACCCGCACTTCTTTTTGCGGTCCCGATCACACCCACATGTGCTGATATTGTCATCGTCATCATAGGTCGGGTCTTCATCTTCGTTTTCACTTTCGACCGACGTGGCGTCACGTAGATTCAAACGACGCACACTGTTGATCAAATCGCGGTCCTCCTCGTTTTCGTAGTCCGTCGCCAATTTCGGATTCCAGTACCCACCGTAGCACTTCACGGTGTCCCAGCGGTATACCGCATCCCGACCGGGGCCACCTTCCTCGGACTCAGCCACACCGCAATCGCATTCGAATTCGGCGTACAATCGGTATTCCCGGAAATTCACGAGCTCGGGAGGATCCCGTGTTTCTGCTAGCTGACACAGGAATGCACTTCGGCGTACCGGAACAAGCGGCGGCTGGAGCAAAGGATCTGCTCCGCCAGCAGAGACTGGGGGCGAGGACGGACCTGCACCTGCCATAAAATCCTGTACGTCCCTGCTCTGCAGGCCGTTTCCAAACAGCTTCGAAATCAACACCTTGTGCTTGATAAGCGACTCCGCACAGTCTCGGTTTAGCAGTTCGTTCGGCGGAAGGCTAAATACACGAAGTTCTTGCTGCAAATCGACGGTTGGCAGGTCAACCACATCATTGCCGCCGGGGTAGTGCAGAGCGCTGGGGCTGGCGTCGAACACGCATACCTCCACGATGTTCTTGGATTTGCCAGTGATGTAGCCCGGAATTTCCAGGGGCGGCTCCTTCGCAGCAGATTTGTGGCCGCGCATGCGCCGGTGCAGCCGGCTGACCTCCGCCCGTCGCAGCCTTTCCTTTTGACTTGCAGCTCCAGCGCTGTCGTCGTCCGCAACCCGGCGAATTTCACCGAGGACCCTGTCCGATTCGTATCCGCCGCCTCCACGAAGGGGCTTGCGCATCTGCAGCGCCCCGTTGCTCAATCCGACGCCGCTATTGTCAATCACGAGATTAGCAACGTAGTCGTTTTTGCCGCATTTTTCCAGCAAAACGTGCGTCGTCTCGGCGTTGGCGGGATCGGCGCGCACTTGCAAAACCCTGTAAGTGGCCGGGTGGCGGCTTCTATCCGCGTCCCACAACACTTGGATTTTTTCGGCTGCGCGTGGAATAAAGGATGCCATATTGCTTGCTGTCGTGATTATGAAGACCGCGACGGTCGTAACTCTGACCTCCCGTGCCCGTCTGATAATGATATGAATGTCAATGTATTGAATGACAGACAACAGAAATGATTACAGTAAAATTTAGCCGATACATACCAACATTTGTACGCAGAAAAAGAGTTCTGCGACTCTAACTCTTGTAAAAAGCGGTGCTCGTGCTGATATGTTGCCCCGTTTGTTCCACCACATCTAACTGCGCACACTCGTCTTAAATTCTGCTTACGTATTCTTATACTTGTTGACCACCTGCCACTGCCTCTTGATCTGGAATAATGTCTACACGAACCACTCCAACTCGAACTTAAAATGGAACGAAAGATCATCACAGGTTGCGCCCAACATGAATCCTGATCATGCCGATGTTGACGAAGTTATTGCGTACCTATGTAATATTACTTAACGAGATCTCTATCTTTTCGACATTCACGACATTGCTTGCCAGAAAATACTTTCGAAGAAAAGACTTCTTCCGCCCCCACAGCCAATGTAACAAATTGCATATCTTCACTTTGTTCAAACCCTTCTACATTGTAAATCATCTCGTCCACATAGTAGTTCATCATTCACGGACGGTCTTGTCGTTATCATATACATACGATGCACAAGAACATCACATCATTTACTTTAGTACTAGCAGGTAGTGCTGCCTGCATACGAATTAGTTTTTCTTGTTTGAGCTTAGAATAAACCTAGTGTTAGCGACACTGACAAAGAGTTTGATCAGAAAAATAAGAATTATGATACATCAGATACAAACAGAAACAATCTCACGTTTCGAAGATGCTGATACTGATAGATACATACTGAAGCAGATAAATCTGTAGTTGTACTAGCATGGCGACAAGCGGCACTATCGGACCGACCATTCAAGTAGTAGAATTCTAATGCGTTTTCCAACCTAAAAACTAAGTTAATATTCAAATTCTCGTGCGTATTTGTAAAATATACCGCTGCAAGAAATCTCAAATCAGTGCGATGGATTTTTCCGTTCTTGCGTCACGTGCTACGTGACGCAAGTGGTGATAAAGTTAAATGCAAAACTTACTTCTGTACTATAGTCTCCTCCACTTCTTGTTGTGCCTCCACCTTCCTGTTTTTCGGTTTTATTGAGAGGAAAAATCCCCCCTCCCCATATCGAAAAGGTATGTTTGCAAAAATTTGTGTTGCGGATTTGAGGTCACAAATCACATTTGTCTTGCAAGAAGGCAAACCCAAAGAATCCGCTGCCTTAAGGAGGCGATTTGTAATGCTGTTTCACCTACATGGCAGGCCTCTCTTATGCCAAGAGCCTACAACAAAACACCCCTACGCAGGCTGAGGCTTTGCCTGTAGTGCCTCTGTGCAATACAAAGCTGATTTGTGGTCACAAATCAGCATCACAAATTTCCGTTCTGATATGGGGAGGGGGGATTTTTCATTCTGATAGGTTTTGCGGCCACAACATAGCGAAACCCCTGGTCGCCGAGGAACACCGTGTGGAACACGGCCGCTGTTCCCGGTACGACGAACATCAGGACTGTAAATACCTGCCCTATCCAAGTGAAGAACATACAACTCCCCGCCCTCGTGGTCGTCCCTCTCGTTCTTGGTTTGTCATGATACAAAATGCGGCCTAATATTCTTTACGCATTGCGTTGCCTCTTGGCACTGTTTGCATGACAAGATCTAGCAGGAGCAGCTCGGACTACGACTACAGCAGGTACTACACTCCTGTCCAGTAGATTTCTTCTCGTCATGGTGCAAAGCCTGTATTTTTGCAGCTGTCGCGTACTGTACTAGTACAACTTAGTGTTATATTTTATTTTTAATTGCTGTTCATACAATAGTACAAATGAAGGGGAACATCAAGGGGAGCTGTAATTTTTGCACTTTCATATGCCCCCAGACGGCGACATTGAGCAGAGTCGAGAGGGAAAGCACGACGGTCGAGAGGCATGTCAGTTTGCGAAATGCGCACGCGGTGAAAGTAGGACTTTCATTTTTGAGGCCGCTGGTGTTGTGCTCCACTTCTTCTTTGTGTTCTCGCAACTGGTTTTTTTCGTCCTGCTGTTCCGCCTCCGAAGCGGAAGAAGCGCTGGTGGAAGGAAGCATCGTGCTCCGATTGTCGTAGAAGTCCTTGGCCGCCGCGAGCTGCTCTCCGACGTACGGCGCAGCGCCGGCCGGAGATGCAGGCGGCAGCGCGAGGAGGACAGGAGGCCCTGCGAGTACCGGGTTGTGGTGCCGATCCAGTACGATCCGCGTCTCCATGTGGTCGACGAACTCGAGCTCAACACCGCCGCAGCAGAACAAATAGCCCCATGGATGACCGGAGAAACTAGCACACGATGACGATGAGTGTTCTACTTCATCTTCCCCAGCATCAGCTCGCTCTGTTCCGCCTCGCTGCTCTACTGCTGTACTACGTCGATCTTGTCCCATCATGTTCTTGCCGCTCGATTTATTACTTTCCACATTGTTGTTCTTCCCGGTGGTTGACGCGCTGGTGCCGACGTTATCAGCGACTTCTTTCGTCTGTTGTAGTTCTTCTCCCGCCGCCGATTTTAAAATTCCCTGGTGCAGCTGCTTTTGTTCTAGTTGCCAGACAGGAAAGGCTTTGCCCTCTTTCGTATTTTTCAACGCGTACACGAGCAAGGACACGTAGCACATGGTGATGAGGACAAAGGTGAAACCCAACGCAAGCGAAGTAATCGTACCAAGTGCAAAAGTATCGTACTCGTAGTAATTGCTATCGTGCATGACAAATATCTCTTTTTAGGTGAAATAGCACTACGAGTTGCATTTTTGTTCTTGAAAAAATTTGTGATGCAATTTATACTAGTACGATACTTTTGCAATGCATAAAGCGGCAACACTTGCAACAACAGCGGCAGACCGCAAGTGTGAAGAAACGCGACGGCGCCGGGAACCATGCCCATCAGAATGCACAGGCCGAGGAGCATGTCCATAACCAGCCTGTCCCACGCGATTCGAATCAGGAGCAGGTGGGTGAGGACAGAAGTCTTGAACAGTTGCCAGCTGCTGGTCGTCGATGAAACAACACCCGGTGGTCGCACGGTGGGCGACTTTCTGGACGTCGAGGACAGCAACATGCGAAGTTGCCACCCCGCTAATCGTAGCTGGTTCAGGACCAAAAAGCTCACTTCCCCGATGCCCTGCAGGTGCCGCCGCGATTGCGTGTACCGTGCCGCTACGTTCGCAAAGTACGCACTCATCCGGGAGGACGAAGTAGATCCTTCGCTCTCCACGATAAAACTAGCAAACGGTAGGTAAATCGCGACGACTTTGAAGGCCGGCAGGGGAAACCGCAACATTGTGGGATCGTTATTGTAGCAGAGAGCTGCAGATGTTGAGGAGGAAGAAGCTACAACTCCTGCGGAAGCTGCAACAGGAGCACGACGTCCACCTGGCGCAGGGGCACCAACAACTCCTCCGCAATGCTGTATGAGGGCGGAGGATTCATCTTGTTCATCAGGGTTGTTCACCAGATGATGATCCACCTGATGTTGGTGCTCATGATCTTCAGGATCGCCAGGAGCTTCTACTTCGAGCGACGTAGACGTATGTAGCCCCTGGAGGTTCCACAGTTCGCGGGTATGGCACTCTCAAACGTTACATTCTCAGCTGTTTTTACACGATTAGACGTGCAAAATGACCATGAGCCACCAGACGAAGATCAAGCTGCTTCGCGTGACAAATTATCAAAGGGCCAAACAGTATCTAAATCCTCTGTGCCAAATTTATATATGATGCAAGCTCATTTCTTGCAAGCTTGCCCCTTTCATCCGTACTGCTCCTTTAGCGTCACAAATCCACGTAACAGTTGAGAATGTAACAATTGAGAACGCCATAGCGGGTGAGCATGCCTTGCAGAAAAGTGTGGAGGTCCTCGGAGATGACGTCGGGAGCAAAGCCGCCCATCCGCTCGACAAGTCGATGCGTCGCGGTGTAGGATATGAAAGCCTCACCAGGTTGGAAATCCTCAAAGTGGAAATAATTTGTAATGCAAAAAACGACTCCAGGTAAAGCGGCATTTGTAGTCCGCGCATGACAAATTTCCCGGGCACTTCTTAAAGCATGTCTGTCATGCAGGTTAAGGCAAGGGGGTGCCCTTCTGTCGTGCTAAGCAGCACTCCAATTCTTCACCCCTGGCAGGACAATAGTCGGCCTCCGTTGCGTCCTCTGCAATACAGTCTTTTTTGCGTCGCATTTCATGCATCACAAATCATTTCCACTTTGAGGATTTCCATTGTTCTGAGGCTTTCATATAGGAGCTCATCAGCGGTCGAGCGGAGGGGGAGACCAGACCGAGCTTGTAGCGCTCGTACATCCTATCACAGGAAAAAGTGTTAACGTTAACGGTTTTCACAGATTGCAGTCATGCATCACAAATGTAGCCCAATATGCATGCTATGCATGACAAATTCTGACACGTCTTGTGATGCATTTCAGCATCACAAATTCCGTTAACGTTAACACTTTTTGTTGTGATACATCCAAGCGCCTGCCGCGCCGACCTTGCTCAAGCCGGGGACGCGGTCCCAGTTGCGCAGCGGCTCCTGCACCGCTTGCCAAAACCTCCACGCACGGTCTGAGGCCGGCTCCTGCAGTGCCTGAAACGTCACGCAGGGAAAGTACTGCCGATGAAACAGCGTGTCAGCGTCGCAGTTGGTAATGAAAGTGCGGTCCGGGTGCCACCGCAGTAAGCTACAAGAACTTGTTGGAGAAGTTTGTTCGTTTTCAGCTGCACCAGGACCGGATGATGGTGCTCCATCGCTTCCATACGTGGAGGAGACGCTGTTCGTTATTTTTGTTCTAATTGTATTACTCCAAGTTGTTCGATGCCAATGTTGATTAAATTTCTCTCTCTCTTTATTTCCGCTGCAGCAACTTTTGTTCAGTACAAGCTAATCATTGTTCTCAAGAACATCAACAAGCAGTAGGGAACGCCTGCTTGTCGTGCAGCTTTTTGTTAGAAATAGATACTCGATCATGAAGCTATCCACGCTTTCATCGCGCATAAAATAAAATCATCGAAGCATCTAACTATTATCATTTCATTTCAAACAGATTCCAATTAGTACCTGCTGCCATTGTTCAAGTTCATCATGGTCCTCGTCTTCCCAAACTGCCCCTTCTCCTCACGACCGGGCAGCAGCTTTTCACATTGCGTTGGATCGTTCAGAAAACGCTGCAGTTCTAGCCACGCTGCCTGCAATATGACAGTGCACAACTCCCCCTTCCCCCCATTTGTGATGCAAAGCCTTGGTCCGGTCCCATGTGGCACTGTTTGCATGACAACTTTCGGAAGCCCAAACAGTACTACATTCGGCTCGTGAAGAACTTGTCATGCATAGGATCCAAATGCGTTGATGTTTGTATTGCTGCTCATGCCATGCAAGTGAGGGGGAGGGGGACTTGTGCACTCTCATATGCACATTTGAACTCTTGCCGGCCACCTCGCCGGGAAATTGGTTCTCTTTGTGGTAGCTGAGAATAATCTTCGCGAACTGGTGGCCGTGTCTGCCTTTTAGCCTTTCCGCTTTTTCGACTGCAGCCGGGCCTTCGCGCTCCTCCATGGCCAGCACGAGCACCATGGGGAGAGCTACAACTGGATGGTGTAGTGCTTCGATTTGGTGGTCATCGTCGCATGGGAGCTGCTGGCTTTCGTTTTCATCTTGTTGTTCCGGATTTTTTTCTTGTAGTTTCTTGCTCATCGTCCCGGCGGTGAAGTGATTTTTGTCCAGGTCCTCGCTCATCTGCTGACTCTTGATGTCGTATGCAATGCAAAAGCATCGTACTAGTATGAATTGCATTACAAATTGGCTTCGCATTACAAATTGAGTTTGTAATGCGGATTTGCCCTAACAAAAAGATTTGTAATGCATAAATGCCATTAGTACGAGTACGATACTTTTGCAGTTCATATGTCGTGCTTCAACACCAAGTTGTTAATCGTGTCGGATACTAGGTCGCAGTCTTCCTTGTAACAGGGGATGATCACCGCATGCAGCGTATGCAATACAAATTTCCCGTACATGTACAAGATGCATCACAAATTTCACGAATTTTGAGCGTCAAACTTGTCATGCGAAACTAGAAGCGAAGCCAAGTTTTGTCATGCGGAGACCGCATTTGATGTACGTGTACGGGAAATTTACTGTGGATACAGCAGTCCGTCTTGCAATGCCTTCCTCTCTTTGCTGGAGTGCACAAATTCTCCCAGTTTGCGTTCCCATATGACACCCTCAGAATGGAAATCCTCAAAGCGGAAATAATTTGTGATGCATGAAATGCGACACCAAGAAGACCGTATTGCAGAGAACGCAATGGAGGCCGACTATTGTGCTTCTATGGGTTCAGAATTGGACTGCTGATTAGCATGAGAGAAGGGCACCCCTTTGCCTAACTAGCACGACACCAGACACGTTCTGAATGACCGGGAAATTTGTCATGCGCCGCTTAGAAATGGCGCTTCAACTGGAGTCGTTTTTTTGCATTACAAATTATTTCGATTTCCACTTTGAGGATTTCCATTCTGAGGCTGTCATATCCCAGTCGACTTTCAGCCACGCGTCCATCTTATCAAATGCAATTATGTCTGTGTCTGGAAGGTTGCAACTTGTGATGCTATGTTTCGACTCTAAAAAGATTTGTATTGCATGACCAGCAAGGGGAGCCCAGTTTTTGCTACGTGGGGAGGGCATTTGTCATGCGGAGCAGGCATCAGGAAGCCTTCTAAAAATCTGTGATGCTATGTCCCGCATTCCAGACCTCATGGGTCATGGCAACCCTGCGTGACAAACTTGTATTCTTCCAGACCCAGACATATTTGCATTTGATACATCTTCCACAAGCACATCGCCGCGCCAACAGAAATATCAAATGCAAAAATGTCTGGGTCTGGAAGATTCGGGGAGTTTGTCATGCACAACTGTACATGACCCAAAATGCCTGTGATGCATGCTGTAGCATCACAGTTCTCGCAAAGCCTTGGTAATGCCTATTCTGCATGAGAAATGCCCTCTCCGAGTGGCAAAAATTCAAGCAGCTTTTGCTGCTCATGCAATACAGATTTTTCTATCGTCTACAGGTAGCATCACAAATCCCATTCTTTCCAGACCCAGACATTTTTGCAATCCATACGTGATCGTCGAAAGCATAAAGACCACAAAGAACTGACAGGGTAAAATGGCATACTCGAACCACAACCGGGGAAACGCGTCGAATTGGTAGGTGAGGAGGTGTATCAAGTGTAAAAATGTTTGGGTCTGGAAGAGTGCAGACTTGTCATGCACATTTTCCATGACCCATGAGGTCTGGAGTGCGGGACCTAGCACGACACATTCTGTGAGGCCTCTACCATGCCTATCCTGCATGAGAAACCGCCTCCCAACTTGGTCAAAAGTGAACAGCTTTTGGCACTCATGCAACACAGATTTTTGCATGCTTCAGATTTACCATGACAAGTTGCCACCTTCCAGACCCAGACATTTTTGCAATGCATAAGGTAGATGCCGAGGTAGGTCAACACGAAGATCAAATACACGCAGAGCGGAACGGTCCGGGTATCAAATGCAAATGTGTCTGGGTCTGGAAACTTGTGATGCTGGGTGGCGTATCATGAGGAGGCAACAAGTGCTGGTGCAGCATGACAAGTTTCAGAGCTTCCAGGTGTTGCCTATTCAGCATGACAAACCACGTTTCTGCATGGCAGAAAAGTGAGGCTCTTGGGTAACGTGCATGACAGATTTAAGAGTCATGCCAGACAAGCATGACAAACATGCATTCTGCCAGACCCAGACATTTTTGCAGTTGATACCGGGCAAGCAATGCCAACGTCGTTCCGGAGGAGACGGATTGGGGAGAGAGAAGTTCTTGTCCTTGATGTAGCTGTGGTTGGTGACCAACTGCATGATGTTGAGCGTGGTCATAGTACTCAACATGTTGCTTGAGCTTGCTCTCCTGCACCACGCCTGCAGTTGATGTACTACTTTGTGGGGGCGTGGACGTCGCATAGAAGTCCGCCTTCGACGTTGTGCCCTGGCTGCGACGCCGGAGGTCCACCTTCGACGTTGTGCCCTGTTTCATCTTCTGTTGGGATGGTCGTGAAGAACTTTGCAGCTGCCAGAAGTGCGTCGACGTATTTTCAATGCGACTGCGAGGACGAGCGGTAGGAACTACGGCAGGCACAGGGCGCAAACTTCAAGAGCGTCATGATGTAGATTTTCCCCATGGTAGTCTTCAGATGCAGATCGTCAAATAAATCGCACTTATACTTGATTGAACTACGACACAACGAACCTGAGGGGGATCAGATTCGTGTGACCTGCTTGAACAAAACATACGTCTCTACTACTTTTTTAGAAGAAACATTTTTCCGCAGAACTGCTGCAGGGTCAACTTCTGCTTCTGCATCCAATTCTACTCGTTTTCGCCGAAGAGTAAGGTTCATACATCGTGAAACGAAATGTTGTTCGAATGAAAATGGGAATGCCAGCGACACGAATGGAACCGGAAACGAGATGACGAAAGGAGCGACTTTTATTTCCTTCCAGACGAGGTTCCGAATCCGAAAATAGGATCACAGGCTCTATTCGTATTCATACCCACGACGACGACGACGACCCAGCATAGAAGACGACTACATCTTCACAACCGATTTTTTTTTTAGTTACTCTACCTAGTACCACGACAACTTACGTGCTGCTTCGTACAATTTCGTTAAGTCTGACGAGTACTACGAGATCTTGAATTATCTCGCTGCAACTATCACATTAACATTTCCTATTCGTAGTTGTGTCGAATGAGTGAACTTTCATCACCAGCTCGAAACGAGTATAACTTTTTCACAACCGAGGAACACTGGATTCGAATTTCCTTCAAGAACTATATGGGATCGTGATGACCAAATTTATTTTCCCAAATAATTCGACCGAAGTGCAAATTCAAAAAGTTTTTCTTGTCTTGTCCGAGCGAGTGCGAGATGCAGAAAAAGGGTATGATCTAGATCTGTTCTCTTCGCAACATTCTACTTCTTGTGTCGTTCTTGGGATTTCGGATGATGTGGACCATCTACGACCAGTCGCACTTGACCACGTGGGCGCCCTACTGTCCTCCTTCAGAATCTTTGCGACCACCAGGGGACGAGTCAATGTCACAGAAGTTTCTCCAGCTCTGCTCTGATCGCCTTCCCCGCTACCGAAGTAGATGAACTTGAACTACCTTGTTTGCTGCAATAATCAAGCGGCCGCTTCCCTGCGTGGTCCGTCAACAACAGTGCCTTCTTTGCCTCCTCCTTGCCGTATCAAGTGTAGAAATGTCTGGGTCTGGAAGATTCAACTCATCCTGTTTCTGCATGACACAGAAGGTCTGGCATGGAAGCTCTAGCATCACAGATTTCGAGAAGCTTCCGCATCAATGCCGAATCCGCATGACAAGTCACCTATTTTGCTGACAGAAAGTGGGGAGCTTTAGCTTTTGCTACCTATGCATGAGAGATTTTTGTGTGTTCTGAAATGCGCATCACAGGTTACATCCTTCCAGACCCAGACATTTGTACATTTGATATGCCGCACTTCTTGACAAGAAATTTGACCGCGGCAAGCTGATCCAGCTCGATCGCGACGGTTAGGGCGGATTGCTTCGATGCCGGGTCGGGTTTCAGCAAGAACTTGCTGGTCGACGTCGTGGCTCCACCACCTCCCATCCGCAATACCAGGTCGAGGTGCGAAACGCCGCCGGCGTCATCTCCGGAATTGTCTTCATGCTCATGGTCCTTGCGCACAGCCACGCACGGCAGGTACGAAGCGCGGGTTTGCAGTAACTGGCCCATGCCGACGAGGAGCGGGTTGAACTCTGATGGAATTATATATGTGGTGTTGGTTTGAAGATCATTGTAGGCATGGTTCTTCAGAGATTTTTTCAAACTACAGGGCATCTAGGGCAAACTTCAAGCAGGAAAGGCCACAACGACAAAATCAATTTACCAGTTTCACTGGATAACAGAACGCGAGTCATTCGCTCCAAGCGCTGTAAATGACGAAACAGGAACAGCCTACAAAAAACGTCTAGTTAGGTTACCTTTCCACTCCTTCACCGGCAAGAACTTCTCTAGCTGCTTTCTGGTGTCTTCCGGCGTTTTCGCGTTTTTCGTCCATCCGATAAAATCGCAGATCCGATGAATGTGTGCGTCCACACAGATGCCGCTGTCGTAAACCCCGAAGGCCTCCTGCAAGACGAGAAAGGCCATTTTCGGCCCGACGCCCGGGAGTTTGAGGAGTTTTTCCAGGTTGTTCGGCACTTTGCCATTGTATTCTTTTACGAGAATTTCGCTCGTCGCTTTCAAATATGAACTGCAAAAGTATCCGTATCGTACTCGTATAAATGCATGACCCTCAGCATGAGAAATAAAATTTGTACTGCGGATTTACCTTGAGAAAAAAATTAAAATTTGTAATGCATGCAAGTACGATGCTTTGCAATACGAGTACGATACTTTTGCACAAGATATCAAATTTTTCGCCTTTGTCGCGTGCATCCCGACCATCTTGATCGCGGTGTCGATTTGATCAATGGAGTAGTTTTCTGCTACTGTTTTCGGGGATAGGATTCCTTTTCCCAAAGATTTCAGGTTTCTCACGGCTTCGGCCGTGTACTGGTCCTTTGTCAGAGCATACTATCCACGGTAAACTTCCCAGCACACACGTAGAAATCATGTACATCTAAAGTAAAACTCAATGGCGGTCCTGCATGACAAAACTCGCCGTCAATCGTCTTGCGCATGACAAGTGGAACTCTACTTCAAGCTGGCCGCGAAATTTGTCATGCATTTTGTACGTGTACGGGAAGATTGTATTGCATACAGACAGCATCGCCGCAACGAGATGGTGAAACGCCATGTCCGGAGAGTCCCGGTCCGCAAGCATATTGCACCCGATCACGTCTTATGAAATGCAGCAAAAGTGTCTGGGTCTGGAAACTTGTAATGCTGGGTTGGGAAGAGTGAATGCTCTGCAATGCACAGCCCAGCATGAGAAATATTTGTGTGGCTTAGTGTAGTGCTTTCGCTTTCCGCATGACAAAGTCCGTTTTGCATGACAAGCCAGAGGGTCTCTTCTTGGACACGCATCACAAGCTCTTCAGTCATGCTAGACAAGCATGACAAACCTTGCATCCTTCCAGACCCAGACATATTTGCAATCCATACGTCGACGTCGGCGATCTTTTCGAACCGGAGATTCTTCATCAGCTGCAAGGTCTTCTGCCAATTTTTCGGGCCGGAAGAGCAAGTCGAAGAAGGAATTTTATCATTTTTCGGTCGTTTGGAGGTCGTGGTACTTAGGACAAGGCTGCTCTTCATCGCAGTACTCTTTTTCATAGCCACCGAAGACGCTGTGGTCGTCTTGCTTTTTAGTTTCGCAGGCTTTGAAGCACCCGTGGCTTGTTGAATCTTAGTCTTCTTCATCGCGTGCGAGGGTGCTTTTGCTTTTGCCCTCGACGCTGCCGAAGATGAAGCCAAAGCCAATGTCGACGAAACTGCAGTTTTCCTCTTTATGTCGTCCTTCGGCGAGACTTGGGGGTTGCCTAACTTAGTTCTCCTAACGCCGCTCCCCGTTTCTTTACCAGCTGCCGCAGCTTTCCGCACCACAGTCACTGACGTTTTCTTTTTGTTCTTCTTGCCGGCTGCGACTTTTACTTTAGAAGCTGCTACGGTGCCTACCTTCCTACCGACTTCCGTCTTCTTCTCCTTCTTCGCGGCAACCGATCTCGATGAGGACACGGCCGGCCTTGGTGCAGCGGCAACAGCAGCAACTTTACCGTCACGCGGAGGCTTTTTGCTCAGGACGAGATCATCGAGAAGTTTCTTGCAATCTGCAGAAATGTCAGTGCCACTTAGTTTTCGCGCTGACAGCGCGTCAGTTGGTACCAATTTGCTGCTGATCGCCGCCGACCGAAGTCCACCTGCCCGAAGAGAGCCTGCTGTGTGCGCTGTAATGGGTCGTACAAGAGATTTCTTCACCACCCGTCCCGTTTTCATCGACGCGGACACCGCCTTCATCGCGACACCACGAGAAACACCAGTAGATTTCTTCTTCTTAACACCACTGACCAGATTGTTTTTCGACATCGACGGGCCGCTCATTCTTTTATCGGCTTGGCCTCGTACCATGATGAAGATGAAGACGAACTCGAATTGAGAAACAAATCAAAAACAGAAAGAGAAACAAGTATAGCGTGTGTAAATTATTTTGTAAGGCACAACTGAACTACAACTAGTGCGACAAGTTGGACGGCATCATCAAGACCTAGAAGAAAAGAAGGTAGTGACTCACTCCGCTTTCCCCCACAATTTTCTACTTACGATCAAAGTCTACGTAACTAGGGTAACGATAAAGGAAATAAGGTGAAGCAGAAATGGAACAACAGACAGGTCAAGAGTGTTGTATAAAAGTGCGTGGGGCCGAACCACAGACCAGACGACGTGGCAACAATTTATTCTTATTCAAGCACCCTGCTCTGAAGTTTATTTTGCTGGTCTTTATGGAGAATCGCAATCGGGTGTAATTGATCCAATCTACGACTGCTGCACGCATTGATGTAGGGTCGTGATGCTTCATCTCAATTCTTGGAAAATTCAAGCACCAAACTGGTTACCAGGAGACCCAAGACATCTTCTTGAACTTGGACTTGATGCTGTGCAAAAAATGTAAAAACGAAGTAGGGAGCTGGTCTCGTCGCACGCTGTTCTTGTTAGACTGATACAGATTTGATGCTGTTGGCACGACAAGCCCAAGTAAGAATACGTTCTTTAGAGTTCCTTATAATTTCGTATCCCTACTTATCCACAACACTCTCGTCCTTGTCTTCCACTTTCTCCCCGGAAGCAGGTGAAGAAAGCAGAAGTGCATTTTTCTCCCGGTTTTTGTATTCCGCCGCCAATGTTTTCCACTCCTCAGACTCCGCTTTTCTAACCAGATCCTCGAAAAAAACCTGAACGCGCATCCCGTAGTACCGTTTGCTGTCGTCTTTTTCTCTTTTGACCTCCGTCAACAACTGGAACCTGGCGAGATACCTGTCCCACAGATGTTCTTCTTGAGCGGCTCCTTTTTGTTGCCCCTTTCCTTGGTTTTCCATCCCGTCCTCCTGAGCAGATGACGACATGCACTGCAGCGCAAACCCAACGGTTTTCAAAAGCATTCTCGCGGCGTCGAGCCCATCCTCGCGCGGAAGGTTGTTATTTTCTTCTTTCAACACAACTGCTGGCACTGTCATGTGCAGCAAATCATCCAAAATATCCGTGATCGCTTTCAAGGGGACGAGGTCCTTCAAAAACAGCTCACCAACGAACCGCAGATGGTTGCTTACTCACGGACCGCCCGTGATCAGAGGGGGTCTGGAAATGCCTCAGGAATGCTCCAGGAATCTGCTCAGAAATGTCCCGACTTTGCATATATCGCCGCGCATCGGAGTCATCGTCTTGGTCGCTTCCATACGTCGCGCATCACTGATGCGCGACACGATGAGCACGCCATAGCAACGGAAGGACGGGCCACGGGAATTATCTGCGCCGTCCTGGACAACCTACATGGGCGGACCGCCGGCCGGCGCGAAGATTGGGCGCGGGCAATAGACCCAAAACCACAGACCCGGCGAACCCCCGGGGCGCGCGCCCTACGCCACCACGCTGCAAAACTGAAGCGCATGCCGCTCGCGTCACACACGTGACACGATGGCGCCACGGTTCGGAAAAACGGGGAGCGCCCCTCGGAGGGTGTTGCGCGCTGGTTAGGACAAAGGTTGTCGCCCAGCGCGCAAAGCTGGTGGCCGGCTGGCAATCCGTGCGACGGCTGGTGGCCGGCCGACAGGGCGCGCATGCGAGCGCGCGGCCCACAAAGTGCGGCCCGCCCGTCCCTCCGAGCACGCGCCGCGGCCTGCGTCTTTTGCGCGGGCCGTGTTTCCTAATTTCTTTCTGCGAAAATACAAACCAGCTCCAGCGCGCCGGCGCGCCTTTGCTTGTGCGCTTGTAAGAAACACGCCAAGCAGGTTTCCTTGGGGAAAACCGAGAGGGGCCCTGGCTTCTTCCCCCCAATATGATTTCCCTGAAGAAAGAAAAACCGGGCCCAACCCTCCCACCCAACATCCCCGAATCGGCGGCCTTTCCCTGGGTGCCCAGCTAGGTAGCGCGCCGGGCCAGCGGCCTGCCCCTGCAAAAGCACACACCGGGCCGCCTACCATCAACGCAGTGCGGTAGGTGTCGCCGGCCAAGGTCGCACGCGACAGCTGCGGCGCGCGAAGCTTCTACATCCTGAGCCCGGCGGCCGGGCCGGCCGGGCTTCCACCGCCCTGCTCTTTACCCGCAAAAACCTGCGCAATCTTGCGCCGGACCCTCCGCCCACCACAGTTCTTCGCCCCTTCATTCGCTGCGTGCTCACTTGCCGCGCCCAAATCCCGAAGACCTGCCCGAAACGCCGGCCGCCCATTCCGGCCCCCCTCCGTCGGACCGGCCGACAATATTCACGCGCCCAGTCTTAGCAATCGGCCTGGGCGTGCTCTGCAGGACATCCGTCCGGGATATGAGAAGCGCGAGGAGCGCTCTGGGCCTGCTCTGTAGATCACTCCGCAACTGCTCTGGAGATGCCGCGGCCTTGCAACATAACACCGGAAGAGGTGGCAATACTGCCGCGCCGCGGATCTTCTTCGCAGTTTCGCGGAAATTTCGACCCTTTGCAGCCTTCACGCAAAGGCACCTTTTTCACGGGATCGGACTCGTTCGCCACGGCGCAACGGCCCGCGCGCGAGATCGATGGAAACAATCTCGGACGGATTTGCCATCGATTCCCTCGCTCTCGGGTGGCTGTGGCGATCGTTATGAACTTGATCCGTGCGGCAATTTTTGCCGAATTTATGAAACGAATAAGGAGCATCCTGCAAAGCTGAAAAAAAACAATCAAGGGCACTGCGAAACCCGCGAAAAAGCAACACCAAGAAAAGCCGAAACGCGGAAAACCGTGGCGCCATTTCTGCTATTGGGGAAAAAATGTCGCGGCTTTTGCATTTTTCTTCTTCAGGAAAAAACCTGAAAGCGTTTGCATTTTTTTCCTTCAGGGAAAAACCCAAAAAAGTTCGCGCGATTTTCTTTTAGAAAAAAAACAAAAAAGCTGCGCGCGATTTTCTATAAGAAAAAAACCGAAAAAGTTGCGCGCGATTTTCTATAACAAAAAAACCCAAAAAGCTGCGCGCGATTTTCTAAAGGCCAGAAATGTGGAAAATCGCCGACCTGATCGGTCTCATACCATCGGGGGAAGGCAGAAAACCTGGCCCGTCTTCGGTTTTGGTTTTTTTACATCGGGGAATCGCGCGCGACTTTTTTGGGTTTTTTTGTGATAGAAAATCGCGCGCAACTTTTTTGGTTTTTTTCTAAAAGAAAATCGCGCGCAACTTTTTTGGTTTTTTTCTAAAAGAAAATCGCGCGAACTTTTTTGGGTTTTTCCCTGAAGGAAAAAAATGCAAACGCTCTCAGGTTTTTTCCTGATGGAGAAAAATGCGAAGGCCTCGACATTTTTCCTCCCTTTACAGAAATGCGGCACCCGGTAGCGCGTGTGGCTTCGCTTTCGCCTTTTTTTTTGGCCTACTTTCTTGGCCCGGTCCTTTCAATTTTTTCGCTTCATTCGCGGTCTTTTTACTACCGTAGCTCGATTCACATTCGCCATGATTCTGATTCTCATTCGCGACGTTTCTGATTCTGAGTCACAACGTGTGGCCCCCACAAGCCAAATAGCTTACAACATGTGGCCTCCACAGGCCAAGTAGAGTTTTGCTCTACGCAATATCTACAACGGGTCAGCTGTAATCGGGGCGCTGAAGCTCGTCAACGCACATCATCGTCGGACTCTGGGTCTGACACGGGGGCCGCGTTCGCGAACTCCGGCGGCTGCTGCTTCATCCGGCTGCCGGCCGCCGCTCTCGTTGGTGAAGGGGGCGCCTAAGTCGTGCCGAGGGAGAGGAGCGGCGCCACACATGGCGCCAGTGGCTGCGCCAATGAGTTAAGCAGCCCCATTAACTTCATGCGGTTCGGCTTTGCCTATAAGCCGCTGCAAGGCCTTCGCCGGCACTTGCATCGAAGCAAGGCCAACACGGCCCGCGCGGGGGCGCCAGCCTGGCTGTCGGCCGGCGGCCGGTCCGGCTGGCAGAAGCCAGGAAGGGCCCGCGGGCTGAGGCAGGCCTTCGCCCCAGGTCTAAGACTGCCTTGGATGCCAATCATAGACACACACACGCGGCAGCGCCCTGGGCTTGGGCGGTAGAAGCGAAGGGAAACTGACTGAAGCAATTCTGCTTGCCACCAAACCACCCAAGACCAGCAAGAGACGAGGAAAAACGAAGCCGGGTCCGCCCGTGTCACGCGCGTGACACGGTGGCCCTGTGATCTAGAGAAGCAGGGCAAAATCCCCCTCGCGCCAAGGGGCGCGCCTGCGCATGCGAAAGCAATGCGCCACGACAATGGGCTGACGAAGCGCCCGGCTGTGGCCAAGCGGCGCCGGCAGGCGGCCAACGAATGGGAGGCCGGCAGTTGGTTGCCCTCCCGGGTGAGGCCGGCCATGCCGGCCGCCCACAAGGGAGGAGGGCCAGAATAGCAGTCCGCCGCGCAGAAAGCAAGGCCGGGCCCGTGCCTTGCTGCCAAAGAAACAAAGAAAGGAACAGCGGCAAGGCCAGCGCACTGCCTTCTTACAGAGGCAGCCCCGCTGAAGGCCTCAACCTGTCAGAGCAGGCACTGAACCGCCGGGGCGGCGGAAATGCAGGGGCAGACGCGGCGCCTGCAATGCTTCGTACCGGGCTGCGGACAAGACGCCGGCGCGCCTGCGACAAAACGAAAGGAAGCGGGCACAGATAGGCCCGACACAAGTGTGGCGCTGCGGCACTTCGCGTCCATATATGCAAGGGAAGGCCGGCAAAAGGATAAGGGGCAAACGGGCGGCGCCCGAACGTCAACGCCAGCCGCGGCCCGCATTGCGCGCCACAAAAATGCGCCAAATACGGCAGCGGGCGCCGCGTCTCGAGGAAGCTGCTTTGCGATGGCCCGGCTCGACGCCTTGCGTGCCCCTCTTCCCTGCAACCACAACGAGGGGCGCCGGCGTTGTGGGAATTGCCTCCGCCTTACATTCCCGAGGCCATTTCTGAGACATTTTTAAAGATGACGGGATCACGGGCGTGGCAGTGCATAAGTTGCTCGAGAACGTTGACGCGCAACGCTTATCCTGTGCAAAAGTATCGCACTCGTTTCGTAGTAATCGCAATTATGCATGACAAGTCGCCTTCCTAAGCTAAAACAGCATGACAAATTCATTTGTCATGCTAGGGAAATTTCAATTTGTAATGCAATTTATACTAGTACGATACTTTTGCATTTCATACCGCTGTCGCTGCGGGTAGATTTGGTGTTGGTCTTCCGACGAGCCAAACCATAGATACCGCCCACTCAGAAGCCGCGTGGAGGAGGTGGTGCTCGTGTCCGCATGAAGATGATTTTTACTGTCTTTCTTCCAGTAGGCCAGGTCTCGCATTTCTTTCGTGAAATCGTACTGCTCTTGTAAGGCGGTCATCAGCAGCTCTCGGAACAAGGTCACGGCAGGAGCGGGAGTACTAGAGTTGTCTTTCGTATTACTGGGCAACAAATCTTGGATGGAAAAGAACGTCAATTCCGGAAGCCGTTTTTTCCAAACGTGATCCAACAGTACAACGTACAGCTGCACAAACGACGTGCCAAATTCAAAAACTCTTTCCTTCGTCGTCGATTCGTACATCGCTTGGGCACAAAACATGCGCGCGAGGGTCTGCAAATCCGCTTGTGTTTTGATTGCCAAATTAGCGACGTCTTCGCTTTGCAGGAGTTTCTGCAAATTACTCACCGACACCTTGTTTAAAATCACCTGCAATTGCCGGTCCAGAGTGGTCGGCGGGGGCCGCGTTGCTGTGTTCTTTGAATTTGTTCCATTTGTTCCCTGCGCTTTTGGTTTTTGTTTTTTTCCTCGTTTCCTGATGTAATGTTCCTTATCCTTGACGCGACTCGCGTCTTCTGCTGGCGATGATGATGATTTACTAGCCGATAAAGCTGTAGACGTCGCAGTAGCAGTTACTTCTTGTTTTTGTTTGTCCCGCACCTCGGAACTACCGGACGAAGTGGCTTCCGCTTTTTTTCCGGCATTTTGAGTTTTATTGCCTTTTCCACTGGGTGTTCCGTTTTTCGACATCTTCCAATGGGGCTGCTGTTGATCCGCGTAGTACGGGGAGGCGCTGTGCTTGCCTTTCTTCCCAGAAGAAATGCCTGGAAGGAAATATGTAGTTTGTAGTTCCGGATAAAGATGATGAGCAGGCGCCGCTGGAACAACATATGGAAGTTGATATGCATATGCTTCTTCGCCTTGATGATAGTACCCGCCGTAGTAACCAGCAGTAGCAGCGGAGACAGCTCCAACATCGAGTCCCGGGCTTCGAGTCGGTGGTGCAAACCCTAGCGAAGCTGTAGCTCCCGTCCCGTCGGCAAAATTATACCAATCTGCGGTCGGCGGATAGAAGGTTGCTCCTGCCGGCTTTCCTAGCTGAGCGACATGGTCGTACTCGTAGCCTTTACCGAATGCTGACACATCACTTGCTTGCTGATCCGGCTTCCCGCCCTTTTTGCTCGAAGAGCAGCTCGTCTTCCCCGGAAGTTGATTTTTTCCGAGAGCAGGCACTCCTGCTGCGCCAAAAACTCCACCAGGGTCTGCTTTTTGCTTTGATTTTCCTTTGCCCTTTTCGAAAGAACCGGGCGTCTGTTGGTAGGACGTCGGTGTCGCTTCATTCTCGGGGCAATTAGGGCTGGGGTAGTGCCACCAAGAAGATGAACTCGTGCTGCCGTTGTCGGGTACGGGTGATCGCGGTTCCCACATGATCTTGGTGCTGGAAAGGAAAGAAAGTCCGTGAGTACACAAAAAAAAAGTAGGGAGGACGAAGTGCACAAGACTGCACTACATCAAGATACTTAGATACAACTAGCTAGTACGACTAGACGACCTGCTACAGTTTTTTTAACCCGACAAAATAAACGAGAGCACGACAGAAGCTGAAAAACCTCCATAAGATAGAGAACTCGATCGTGTTTCGTTTATTGGAACAGATCTCTGGCAGTTGACAAGTTTCTTGATCTTGTGATGGCTCTCGTGTACTTTTCGTTTTCCAACTTCTGTTGCGATTGATCTTCAATATGAATATACTGCAACATCCGGAGGTGGGCGGCGTGTGGAGAGAGAAACTCTACAGCAGATCTAGATGACGTGGTGCCAGAACCCCGACCAACTTCGTCGCACTGCCAAAAGATAAAGATAAAGAACTGTGGGACGAGGTGCATAAAATAAGTCGAGAAACAGTGGCAACAGACCACGCCTTTATGGAGTTGTATCTTTATTTTCCAATTCTGCTTCGTCTTTCTTACTCATTCTTAGTGTCAATTTCAATCCGAAAATTGAATTTCAAGTTTTCTGGTTCATGAAGTGAAGTGTTATCATCTTCGAAAAATACTCCAACATTCGTAAGTGCCTTTTTCCAAGGCACCCATTCATGAGTGTTCTTACATCAGCATCGCTTTTATTTCACTACCATGTGATTTTTTTTTGAGCCTTCACAACAAAAAATGGATTCACTGTTCCTCGGCATCGTGTTCCGAGCAAGCAAAAAATCGATTGCTGCCCAGTTACAGTTTCTTCCGTTTCCATTTTTTTCACTTTTTCTTTTGTGCGCAGCGCGAAGGCATTCCGGAGGAAGTTCTTGGATTTCGATCTGTTACTTTCGTAGTTGTCCTCTTCCAACTACACCACATTCTTCACATGCTGTGCCGGCCATGCGCCGGCGAAGGTGATCTCAAATATTTTTTACTTCGCGATCACGGAGACGGAGACGGCTTTTTCGCGGTTCTCGCTGGCGTAATCGTTTACCACGGGCGGGCTCGGCTTCCTCTGCCGACTTTAGGATGTAGCAGTTGCGACGCTTCTTGCAAGAGCTGCACAACATAGTTCTGCTATGTGTTCAAAACCACTTTCCGTTTCCCTCCAGGAGCCAGTCCAGCACAATCTGTATTTTAACCCGGCACCGCTCACTGTACTGGTACTCGTTCGGATCCGCCGGACTTCTGCTCTCGTGGAGAGCCTGAAGTTTGGCAAAGGAGTTTGGTAACAGGTCTTTCCTGGCACTGGCAGCGACAGCCTCGGTTAAACCGGACGTGAAGGCCTGCTGGTAGGTCGGCCGGGTGGTGATCCTGTTCTGCAGCGTGTACCCGATCGTTATGAAGAGCTCGCACGCGCCGACTACTTGCGCTTCGGGTAAAACCCGTTCTTTGGTCGTGGAGATTTCTGAAGCTCCTGACTTAGGTGTTGTAGTAGTCGTACTTGTTCCCGCTCCTCTGCTTTCACTTTCTCCGCCCTCCTTGAGCTCTAACACGTTTTCCAGCGCAGCTTATGGCAGCAAAAAGAAAGAGCGTGGAACGTTGTAAACGGAAATGAAAAATGGCATGCAGTAAAAACTACGCATGAGATGGCGCAAACGCGCGGCCCAAATTTGTCGTGCATAAGTAGTAGTACCGTGAGTCCATGCTGGAAAACGCTGCAAGTCGTTGCTACACCTCAAGATGACTAGACCACTATCGTTTACAATGCTAAAACACAAACACTTCTTTTTCTTCACCTCTGATAGAGTGTGTATCACTTTCAAGGGCAGCGCCTGGACCAAAAACAGCTGCCCCATAAACTTGAGGAGGAGAACCAGGCTCCGTCCAGCTTCGTCATGGGTCTCATCTCCCACTGGTGCAGTTTGTTCGCCTTTGCAGCCTCGAATTCGTTTCAAGAAACCTTTCAGCTTCTTTTGCAAAACAACGGCAAGTTCCCCGTGGAAGCAGATGGTAGAAGTGTTTGCTTTCCTTTTGCTCGAAGTTGTGCCTTCTTCTAGCATGTTGAACTCGGGCAAGACGTGTCTCAAGTACAACACCAATCCTGAAAAGCCCCATAAAATGGCAACATCGCTGCGGTGGTCCACGCACCGGGCACTACCTCCAAAAAGTTGATGTTGGCGCTCCAGTTCCGTGTCTACCTGCTCGTCGCTGTCGCGCTTCTGTTCCGGAAAGTAACAGCCTTCAATTCCGGAAAACAACTTCAACACGTTGGCACATATGACGGTATCAGAGTGCTGCACAACTCCCCCTCGTTCTCATTTTATCTTATGCAAAGCTTCCAAATCCAATTGCTACCTTTCGTCACTATTATGCATGGCAGTTTATTATGGAAAGAACCTAGATTAACAGGAGCACTACAAACACCATTAGGCGCATGATGACCTTGTCATGCACAGGCTCCACGTGTGCCAGCGTTTGTTGTATGGCAATTGCTTATTTTCATGCCAAAATACAAATGAGGGGGCGCACGGGGGGTTGTGCACTCTCGTAGACCTCGCTGACCAGGACCAAGTCCGCGATACGGGCGAGCTTCATTTCCAAAAATTTGTCCAACGTGGCTCGCCGACTTGGGCCCGTGGGAAGGATATCAAGTGTAAAAATGTCTGGGTCTGGAAGAATGCATGTTTGTCATGCTTCTCTGGCATGACTCTTGAATCTGTCATGCACGTTACCCAAGAGCTCCATTTTTCTGTGATGCAGAAGCGCAGTTTGTCATGCGGAATTGGCAACACCTAGAAGCTCAGAAACTTGTCATGCTGAGCCAGCACTTGTGGCCTCATCATGAGACGCCACACAGCATCACAAGTTTCCAGACCCAGACATTTTTACACTTGATAAAGGACTTTGTTAAGCAGTTCCTGGACGCGCCGCCTCGTTTTCAAAACGCGGTGTCTTTCAGAAGTCGTTCCATTTCTTGCTTCTTGTTTCTGGATTGCACAAGCTTCTCTCTGCATCTTCATCCTGATCACGTACGGATTTGCCGATCTCTTAAGTAGAGGACAACGAGTGGATGGCGTAGAAATAGAGCTGTTGGAGCTCGCTGACGCGGCCTCTGGTTGTAGCTTGTTCTGTGGATCGCAATTTACTTCTTTTTCAACATCCTGTCGCCGAGAAGAGACATTGACATCTTCTGCTGGTGCAGGTCCCTGCTGGAGGACAAGAGGATCGCGCTTGATCGTCGTGTTCCCTTCAAGAAGATGAGTCTCGCACTCGTGGCTCTTCCGCTCCTGCACAACCTTGTTGCCATTTATTCCCGCCCCCGAGTTGTTGTGGTTGTCAGTCAGGTGGAGTGCGGGTTGTTCATTATGATCTGCAGGTGCGAACAAAGCTGTTCCGTCTACAACTTCTTGCGCAGCAGGGAGGTGAGGAACATGCTCCGACTCATCCGAACAGGAGTCCGATGTTTCTTCACAAGAAGCCGCGGTGTCATGGGCGGTGTCGCTGGTGCTCATGCACGACGACCTCCGCCGTAGACCCGCCCGAGGGACAAGCAATGTCAAATTTGTGTTCTCCCTTGCGATGGCCTTCCGCAGCACGTCAAAACTTGCGGTACTGCCGCACCGCAAAATCATGGCTCTGCCGTCCGGCCCGAGGGCAAAGGGATCCTTCACCGCGACTGCGCAACCCCCGAGCAGGCCGCCGGCGCGTAGTACATTCTCTTCGCAGTACCCGTTTCCGTTTTTGATGCAGAAAACGTTTTTGACCGTCGCGCGCTTCGTACAGCGCGCATGCAACAGCTGGAAAAAATCCCGCTCCAGCGCGCGCACAACATCGCCGTCGGAACTGCACTTTTCCGCTTTGCAGAACGCAGCAAGTGCCTGCACTGGCGGCGAGCTAAAACCCAACGCTGCCCAGTCCCACTGCTCCCCGCATATGGAACGGAGTTTACACACTTGCGACTCTTCGTCCTGCAGGTTGGGTAGGATTTTTTTGCTTTGCAAAAACGCCACGACCAGCAAGACATACGCGTAGCTGCTCAGCAACCCGTTATCCACATTCCGGTATCAACAGGAAAAATCCCCCCTCCCCATATCAAAACGAAACTTCTCATGCTGGATTTGCGTACACAAATCCGATTTGTCTTGCAGTAAGGCAGCGCAGCCAGATCTTCGGCCTAGGTAGGGGCGTTTGGGTCTAGTTGCTTAGCATTACAAACGGCTGTCCCCTAGGCGCAACAGCATGCCAAAGCGCTTCCACAATGGCGCGGAAGCCTCTACACTTGCCTTCTTGCAAGACAGACGTGATTTGTGGTCTCAAATCAGCAGCACAAATTTTCGGAAACATACCTTTTCGATATGGGGAGGGGGGATTTTTCCTAATACAATATCCGGACCAAGTTTTTCTCCCGAGCCCAGCGCTTCACGCTGAGCGCGAGTTCCCGGGCAATCGGACAGGTCATGTTATCAAATGTAAAAATGTCTGGGTCTGGAAGAATTCATGTTTGTCATGCTTGTCTGGCATGACTCTTGAATCTGTCATGCACGTTACCCAAGAGCTCCGTTTTTCTGTGATGCAGAAGCGCAGGCTGTCATGCAGATGAAGAGGCAACACCTAGGAGCTCAGAAACTTGTCATGCTGAGCCAGCGTGTGTAGCCTCATCATGAGACGCCACCCAGCATCACAAGTTTCCAGACCCAGACATTTTTACTTTTGGTACATGTACTGCTTCAACAAGTTGCTGTTTCTCACGCCGTTGTAGTTGTTGACGGTGATCTCGATCACGAGCCGGTGCTCGACGTGGTTGCACGCGGTCGCGGATTTCCTGACTTGTTGCGCCGTACAACTTCTACCCGGGAGGACTTGTTCAACAACATTATTACGGATAACATGATCATCTTGATCGTCCCTTGTCACCTCTTCCATCCGCAGGACCGGTATGCGGGCCGGAATGAGTTCGATCTTTTCGTAGTCGAAATGCCCGATCATTCTCCAGAGCGGACATGAGGTTCGGTAAAGACGCTGCTCCAGTTTCGCTCTGAACTCTTGCAAGCAGGTGAGAGCGAGTTCCCTGCTAGAAGGAGTTTTTGCAGCAGCGGGGGTTGTGATATCGGTCGGCACTGTGCTGGTTGTTGATGTGGAAGATGCAAAAACTGGCGGGTCCTCTATATCGACGAAAAACGTCAAATCCAAATCACAACTCCCATCATGATCGCGCAACCCGGTCTTCGCCGATCCATACACAACGCTGGTGGCGCCTAGCACGTCGTCTAGGCGCCGCTTCGCCATGGCACAGGCGTCCTCGTCGTCAATGAGGGCATCCATGGTTTATTTTTGGGACTACACTGATGTCTATCGATCAAGCGAAGAGGCAAAAGTTTAACAAGGTCGACGCACTCATAAGTCATGGACCGACGACGACGTCGAGGTCGAGGACGACACCGAAGACGTTTACTTTGCACCGAAATGTTGGATGTGATGTTGTGCAAAAAACCGCGATTTAGATTTTTGCGACGCCGACTCAAAGACGAGGACGAGGTGCCATTACCTAAAGTTCCACCATTGGACGAGCGTATGAAGTTGCAAGTTTGCCCAGGCAATGGACAAAAAAAACGAAAAAAAAAAACGCTCTCATCAGGGAAGCACCGAAAATTCATGTCCGAACTTTTTCTCCGATAATTGAGCCCCTAAACTGCAGTTAGCTCCCGTTCCGGTTGATGGTGCGGAAAATTGCGATTTGCCCGCGAATGTGCATCCGCCAAAAGTGTTGTGTTTATTTTTCCTTCTCGTCTCCAAAACGCTTGCGAAAAACAGGATAGGAATCATTCACATGCGGCAATGGGTCGCTAAGTTCATTTTCGCTTTTTCTCGTCTCTTGATTCATACAGGAGCTTGAAGAAACAGAAGGTGTGTGATTTCTTGTCCCCAAACAAATAGTATACATGTGTAGGAGGTGATTCTTAATCTTATGCGTTTTAGTGGTCTTTGGGGTTAAACTTAAAGGTTTGATACGTGAAGAAGATTATTACGTTTGCTGGATTGACATTGACATTTTTTAATTTCATCTTTGTAACGAATATGCGCTAGCGCTTCCAGTCGAACTCGAAACACAAACTGTCGATAGCATAATACAGTAAACAGGTCTATTGGGAAATAAAAAATGAGGGGAAACGGAATTGCAGAAAGCAGCGGATAAGTGCGCAGCCACCTCCCCCTGGGACGGGGAATGGTCGCGGCATCTCAGTCTCACGTGCCTGCTACTCTGGTCTTATTGTAAACACTGAGGTTTCATCTTAGTCTTAATGGAACAAGACGATAAAGTTGCTATTCTGAAAACGGTTGGGGCAAGAAATAGAAATGCATTTACTGAATTTGTGCGACGGACTACAACTTAGTACAGAAATAAAAGTGGTGGCCGAGAAAAATTTTCCTGGTTTCCCATTCTTACTTTGCCGAAAATTGGTACGTGTACTGTGGTTGGGTCGCGGTACTGCTGATTACGGCGCTCTGTTGTTTTTTGTTTGTTTGAAATTTTAGTCAACTTGGTACAACTACTGGCCCGCTCAGACGCCGCAGCCATACGATCGAGCTAGCATCGCACGCGCAAAAACCCATCCACAAGTAGTCATCATGCAAGCACATATTAGTGGGAAAAAAAGTCATGCGGTAACCCAAATAAATTGCAGTACGCTCATCGGTGTACCCCGTGGTGGCCGATGGAGCCGCTGAGGGGCTGTGGCGGCGGCATCAGGGACAGGGAGCCCAGCGGTGGGACGTACTTGGGGTCCACCTGGTTCAGCAGGTCGTGCAGCCGGTTCTTCAGGAAATCGAAGCTGTTCGTGCTAACCGGTGCTGGCCGGTGTGCGGAGGTCACGGCAAATTCCTCGTCGTCAAGAGCCTCCAGTTGGTGCTGATGTAGTGGTGTTTTAGATGGACTCGTTGAAGAACGAGAATGGCAACAGTTATGTAGTTGATCTCCAGGAACAAATACGACCCTGCTCAGTATGACAAGTAGTACTGTGACATGATCGTCCTACTTGGGTGGTAATTCTGTGATGCATTTCTTCATTCACCAACAACATGATACTCGTCATACCTTGAGACTCTGCAGGACTTTGTATGACTTCTCTCCCTTTCCGAAGACGGAGTCCTTTTCCGCTTCGAGTTTTGAGAGTTCCGTGTTTCGCTGCGCGATCTGCTCCGAGAGCTCTGCGATCGCCAGCTTGTGGTTCGCCTCCAAAGCTTGGAGTCCTGAGATTATGGAGGGTCATGATGATGTTTCTGGAAATTGATCATAAACAGGAGCCGCCACGGTTGTATGTAAGAAAATTTAGGTTGCGCACGATAGATAATGGCACGAGGCATGACAAAAATCGAATGAAAAATAGATGACATTTTTCTTAGAATCAGATAGATACTCTTGTCGTGCTCCTTCTCTTGGTTCTCGAGCTTCAGGTTCCATTCTCGCTCGGCAATTTCCTGTTCCATTCTCATTGCGTCGTACTTTCTTGCTGCGGTCCTGTTTTTAGGAGAGAGAAAAATCAATAGTACGCTGGGACGTGCGGCATCAAAAAGAAAATTTCAGTTGTTCACATGTCGTGCAATAAATCCAAGTTTATGTTGCATCGGACGTCACTTGTATTTGTTTAACATGATCAGAAAAGGCCCGAAAAAGCGACTTTATAATTTCCAAGTATTACTGCTCGTGTGTCCAGGCTTTCCACTCCCTGAATGTTGAGCCCAAGAGCATCGTGCTTGACGCGCCGAAGAACTTCGAGAAGTGCGCCTTCTTTGTGGAGATGTACTTGCTTTTCCATTTTGCGTTGTCCTCGTACAGTTCGGTGAGCGCCGCAACGAGGTCGTCGATGTGACCTGAGTGGAGTTTTTGGTAGGAATTTGTCATGCGCAAATGCGCATCAAGGCTCATCAATTTTGTCATGTACAATTTCAACTCACAACGCATCTTTCGAGGATGAAACAAACTCTATACCGCAAACGCTAGTGGCCTTGTCATAGTGCTCTTGTATTCCGCCCTTCTCTTCCGAATTTATCGGTTGCTCCTGCACCCTGGCGCTCCCTGGGGTCTTGGCCTGATGTGTAGAATGTAGAATGTTTGGAATGACATGAACAAGATGCAGTACTTTCCGCATGACAAAAGCAAAACGTTTCTCAATTCCAATACAGCATGACAAGTGACATGTTTCAAGGTGCATAGTTAGAAAAGTCAATTTTTTCATGACTGTTGATGTTCTGACAAAATTTGTATTGCAGTTGAGGAGCACAGAGTCGCAAAAATAACAGTCAATCTCAATACCCCGCCCATTGGCTGCAGGCCCACCGGCTTGATCATCGCCATCTTTTGGTCGTTACCAGCAGATGATGAAAACGTCGACAACTAACCACGATGTTGCGCTAGATGTGTCGCAGAAATTTAAAATTGCAAAATTGATTCCGATTCTTATGTAAAGCGAAAGTAGGTTTGGGTGCGTTCGAATCGGGAACTGCTTGCGGTTGATGATAGTACACGACTGATTACGACAAGGGAGTGCGAAGATTACTGTCATTCCGACAAACATGAAAAGCTGCTTCTCATGCTCGGGTACGTTGACGTGTTTGGGTTGTACGATTGTGGACGAACGAAAAAATACCGACATGGACATCTTCACAATCTTTGTTGCATGAAAAAACAAATTCCGTCAAAGACCGATGAACCTCGCTGGCACACGACACTGCTTCCAGCTCATACAATCGCACGACATCTCAAGAAGCCTCTCTCGCTTGTCAGCTATGTTGAAATACACGGCATGATTTTGCTGATGCTGTATTTCTCTACACGACTCTACTTTTCGTCAGCTCCAAACGTAGACGTACGTACCGATGAAGTCTTTCAGCTAGCTTATTTTTAACGAATATCAATATAGTGCTGCTCTTGGTTTAGGTTTTGGACGCGAACGAGCCGAATGAGAAAATTTACATTTGTTTTTGTAAGACAGAGGAAAGTGATGCTCTCGAAGTTCCGACCGACATGAGGGGGTAGAGCAGTAGATGGATGTGAAGATATACATTGCGAACAAATCGTGAGCGCAGTCCAGTAGCAAACCCAGACAGTGTGTGTTCCTTCAAGAAAGCGAAACTCGCCCCCTTTCACTTTGGAAAGTCGGATTTTTATAGTGAGGTTTTTTTTCCAGGTTTTGTTCCGTTCCGAAATAAAGTCTCAAATTCCTGCTAGCGTTCTAGTCACATCTCGTCGAGAGCCGGATAAATTCCGATACGATGAAATAATGGACGCACCATAGAATGCTACTTCTCGTTCTCCTCTAGCAGAAATCTCTCCACTCGAGACTTCACACAGAATTTCCGTTTCAGTGTCATCGTTCAGTCACGTTTTAAAAGTCACATAACCGTGTAATTTTCCTGAAAGGAAAATTATCCTGCACGGTAGTTGTAATTCATCCAAGCTGCATCGCCAAACCTTACATTTCCTCGATCGGTCCGTGACCGCTGCAGTAGATGCCGTCCAAGAACTTACGGATATCCTTGTTCTTGACCAGGCAAGACTGGTGGATCAGGGCGGCGGAGCGGGAAGTGTCATCGATATCCGGACCCTCGATCAGGATTTCGTCCTTGGTAGCCTCGGACTTGATGGCCTGTATCAAGGTCGTTCGATTTAGATTTTTGTCTAAACCAAATCATGTTGTCAAGGGGACGAACAAGCGAAAGGTGGAGCTGTGCTTAGCTATCCAAATGCATCCAAATCGTCCGCTCTCTCAACACAGCCTTTCCCTCAGCCAGGATCTCACTCATTCTCGCATGGGCATGGTAGTGTGATAGATTTGCCATGCGGATAGACCCATAATCAAAATCAAGCTGCAAAAACCTAAAACATGAATCGCTAGTGTACCTTAGCCTCGCCGATCATGTCGATAACGCGGGTGATCTTCTCGCCCAAGAAGTTCTTGATCTCGATGCGCTTGCCACCGTTGGTGATGGAGGCGGTGATCGGGAAATGCGCGTACACCAAGCGCAGAGTATAACGGTACTTCTTGGTCACACCGGTGATCAGGTTGTCAATGTGGGAGCACACCTGGGATAATTTTTCATGGGAAAAAAATCATTTAGGTTTTTTAGATTTCTAAATGAGGAAGACAAGAGGGAAACTTAAAAGCTTGTACTAGGCGATATGAGCAATGTCGGTGTGCGCCAGCGCCCAACGTGGGATGACGCAAAGTAATTTCATCAATGACGATTATCTTTTAAGTATACCGTTCGCAGAGACGCGATCTGCTTGGACAGGCCGAAGTAGAGGCTGACCTCCAACTTCTTTCCGCCGTCGATCTTCGCGATGGAGACCGGGAGGTGGGTGAAGTCGCGCTTCAGGGTTCCCTGCGGGCCCTTGACGGTGACCTTGCGGGCCTTAACCTCCACGGTGACGCCCTTCGGCAGGACAATGGACTGCTTGCTGCGGACAAACTTCATCTTGAAAGTGTGAACGTGTGACTGTGATTTAGAAATGAATCTAAACCTGGAATGTATGACCTCCTATACCTGGTCCCCTGTTAGTGGTTGAGTGTTTTGTGTCGAAGGGATATTTCTAAAGGATTCAAAACTTTGTTCTAGGCTATCATGTACGTAAAATCTAAATTTTTCAAGCGTAAATAATGGATCGCCTTCACCATGAAAATTTAAAAAATTTGGATCTCGAGTGGAACCGCTGATCTTCATCTCTTTCGCCTTCGGATCTAAATTTCGTGTCAGATCCGTTTTTTCCGAATGCTCATTAGGCTACTTAGATGATCGCGAGCTTCGAGAATTATGAGGATCTTGATCTTCTTCTTCTGTCTCGTTCGGTATAAAAATTTGTGACGTGGTTACCGAGCGGATCAACACCAAGAGGCGAAAGGATCGTCATCGTGTTTGTTGTGAAGTAGCGGCAACCTACCAATGCAAGATTTCATTTTCTTCAAGCAGGCAGTCACAAGCCGCCGGACACGGTGGAATGATCCAGGCACTCACACTTTTACACAGGTCTTGATGCACGAAGATCTGATGCATCTGATCTTATTCATCTCTCATCACGGCAGGAAACACCGAGCTGCCTTTCGCAACACGGAGTTGGACACTGCATCCCCGACCTACAGAACCTCTCGTGTACTGAGTCTGAGTAGAACGCAAATGCAACCATACTGTCTATGCGAAAGCGACTCGAGTGCTAATTGTTCCTTTCGTCATTTCGTTTATCATATTTCATTCTGAAAGCCTGATAGAGTTTTGGTTTTGGTTTTCAATGCGCATTTCGGATAAGAAAAGCAGGAATTATCGGCTCGTTGAACGACTCGAGGATGCACCACACCGCGTCAAGGGAAATTAGCAAAAAAAGAAAAAAGTAGGCAACCTACTGGCCGCTGGTGGAGGAAAAGAGCGATCGTATTGTTGAAGGGAGGCTCATGCTGCGACGTTCATTTATATGGCTCATGGAATCAACCACGCCGCTCAGCTGCGAATTCTGAATTGCAAACATGCCACCAATTATGCGTAAAACTAAAATGTGTGTAGCTTAGTCGACAAAAATGGAAAAAGAAGGTGAGGAGTCCTTCTACTGGCTCTCGTCCTTAGGGTTGCCAGTCGTACATTTTGATGATGATGCTCGTCCTGCGGAGCTGCTGTAGCTGTAGCTGCCGTTTGTAGATAGTACATGCTTCTTTAAATTTGTACTACAGGAGGCTGCAGGTATCGAAGGCATTTGGAGAGGCTGCAGGTGAATCGAAGGCATTTGGAGGAGTACAAAAATCAGACTCAGGTCACGTCCAGTGTAAACTAAAATCGAGGTTGAGATAGCTCCGAAAGCCATCAAAAAAATGAAATCATGGGGCCAAGTACGGCAGCCACTTACAGCTGAGATTACTGAAGATTTAGAATCTTGCGCAAAAAACTCAACAAAAAGAAAAACCAAGACTGCGATCCATCGCTGTCCGTCTTTTGGTTTTGGGTCTTAAAGGGTTAAGGATTTACTCGTCAGCTGTATTTTCGTCAAAATTTAAAGCGAGAGCCACCCTCGTTCTTCTACTGACGCCATTCAGCACGAGCTATTGCCACTGCCTTTCAACACAGAGTTGTTGATGAGAATTTTCGAAACTTCGAACTTCCCAGTTGTCGGATCGCGTTTCAAAATCGGCGCGAGGGGATGAAACAGGCTGACCGGCTCAACAATTTGACCGGGTTTAGATTTATTCAGGCGCAATTTCTCTTGCTCCCCAGGAGAATCTGGTCCTCCGCACATCTTCCCTCTGCTCTGCTGCACTAGTTCATCTTCATCTTCGGCTGTCGCGGGCTCGTTTTTTACTCCAGCAGCGTTCTTCATCTGCTCTACTAAAACACCACGACTCTCTGCGAGTAAGACCGCCCGCTCGCTTTCTAAATGCGGTTTCTTCGGCGATGTGCGGTGCACAAGGAGTGGGCTCTTCATCGCGTTAGTTGCACTACCGGCGGCAGCCAATTTCTTCGACCCCGAAGGCGGACTCCGCAGCAGATGGCTTTGCTTCACGAGGCCGATGGGATAGGCAGGGGATTTGGCCTTCTGCGGGACTTTATTTTGGCCGGAGGTGAGCCGGCTCATATTAGTTGCAGACGAAGATGTGGTGGAGGAACGGTTTTTGTTGCTTTGTTTAAATTTGTTGTCCGGGGTGGAGATGTGGTAGTATTTGGTCGTGTTAGCAGCTTCCGGATGTTGACCTCCACGGTGCGCAGGAGAGGAAGTCGCTTCAACTACTGCGGGGGCACTGACACGACCAGCAGTAGTTCCGGGCTTGGTTGGGGACTGGTGCTGGAGCAAAGTGTTGGCTGCGGATTTTAAAATTTGATTGCCGGCGTGGTCCTGTTGCTCGACCTCCTTCCGCAAACCCTCATCCCCTGCCGCCGAGGGGCGGCAGCTAGTTCCATCCATACTTCCGCCGTGCAGTTCCCGCTCCCGATCCATCAGGACGTCCTCCTGCTCGGAGGCTGCAGCACTCACGACCGAGTGGAAGGCACCAACGGCATTGCTGTTTGCTCGCGCGCCGGGACCCGTCTTTTGCTGGCTGCCGCGGCTGTCTACCAAAACCCCGGCATTTACGCCCACGCTCTTGCCCCCGTTCGCCAGCAGGGTGTTCGTCGGTTGTTGCACTCCTGGTCGTGGCTGCGGGGTGTAGCGCGTTGTCGCCGTAGTAGAAAACTGCTTCCAGTTTGTCGCCATCAAGGGTCCTCGTGCAGCAGTCCCCTTTCCGTTCCCGCCCGCTCTAGTTGTACTACTCGGCGGAAACCCAACAGGGCGCAGGACACGGGCGCCGTTGGAGGTGGTGGTCCCCTGTTGCGTCGCGCGCAGAGCAGACGTGTTCTTGGTGAGCACGTGCACATTTGACCGGGTCGTGGTAGAATATTTTTCCCCTGCACCACCGCCAGCGAAAATCCCCCGACCGACGTTCATCTTCCCGCACGAGGCCGCGGTCGAAGTGCAGGACTGAAAAGGAGAAATCACGCTGACGAGGCGGTCAATCTCGTTGATCGTATCATCCACATCTCGGTCCTCTGGGTGCTTGCCCTCTTGCAGAAACGGGTCCTCCACGTACTTACCTTGATGAGGAGTGATCATGTCGAGATCATCTTCGTGTTCCTGTGCTCCTAGCTCGTGATCATGCAAGTACTTACCGCTGTCATGATTTTCATTGGTACACAGCAGCAGATGATCATTCTTCCAACTTCAAAATAAAACAACTTCTCACTATACTCGATGCGCACGAAAATAGCCGGTCCTTCATCTGTCCTCGGACACGTTGACCCCCGCCTGCACCATCCTCTTCGACATCATTTGCATGTCCATCCGGCGACCGCAACAGACTGTCTTCCTCGGAAACAGCTTGGAGTTCCGACAGGGTCACATTCGTATCACCTTCTTCCAAAAGCGCCGCCTCAAAGGCCGAGAAGTTGTCCTCCTCCTCGAGGTTGTGGTTGTGATCCTCGTGGTCGTCCTGGGTCCGGGTCGGCATAGAAGTTGGTCTTTCATCATGGGAGACAAGCTCTGGTGACTGGGATGTACTAGACGCGGGCTCGTCCTCAGAATACGTTCGGTTGGTGATCGTGTTTTTCTTTTCCAACAACGGTTTTTTGTCCAAGTGGCTGCGTTTCACCAATATGGATTGCAAATATGTCTGGGTCTGCAAAGTTGTGATGCTAGTGTGCGAATCAGAAACGATCCCCAAGTTGGGGAAGCACATGACAAGTTTCTGAGCAGCTAGGTCTTGCGTAAACTGCATGAGAAATTGCGTTTTTGTATTACAAAAAAATAGCGCGTAGCGCACTACGCACGACAGATCTTTCTCTCCTGTCAGCAGAGCATTACAGATCTCGCAGTCTCCCAGACCCAGATATTTCTGCATTTGATAACCAAACTGGTTTGCTTAATCACCTGCGCTTCGTTCACGCTAGAGGTTTTGGAGAGGAGGAGCTGATGTTCCGTGGTGTACATAGAATTCGAATTTATTTCGCTGTTTTTGTTTTTTCCGGAAATGCTAGAAGACGCACCAGTGATCGGCTGCACGACACGCAGCGGCAAGGCTGGCTTGCGGGTTGTAGAAGTACTAGTTGCATCTTTATTTCCGGGCGGCCCCTGGACTTGCGCCAGTCTGCTGCTCGTCTTCAGGTTCTTTGTCTGGGGCTGTGTCGTGAGCTGCGTTCTTCCAGCGTAACTTCCGTTCACCTCGCCCCGATTTCCGTTCACCTTTGCGACGTTGAGTTCTTGGTGGTTGTTCGTCTGGGGTGACAAAGAGCGGAATAAAGGGAGGATCGGTTTGTAGTTTGTTGCAGTACTCGCCGGCTTGTTCAGCAAATGCGAGCCGAGGGAGTTCGGAGCTAGCAGGGATCGCACAGTAGTTACGGCAAGGGGATCATTCTCGATGGATTTGCTTTGCGCATCTTGTTCTGGTGGCGTGGTCCCGTCTACTTCCTGGTTTGCCATCCACTCCTGCTCACCCGAGGACAGCATCTCGACGTCGCCCGTGCAACTGTAAAACTGCGATATCACGGGGTCACCGGCGGAGGGAAGCGAGCAAAACTGCTCCAGCAGGGATCCGCTGTCGTCAACCAGGTCGTCCATTCTCAGACCATCTTCCCCGCCTCCGCCTCCCTGTTCATCCAGTAGGAGATCCTCCGACAAGCCACCATCGCAAAAGTCACGGGGAGCACCACTATTCCCAGCCGCTTGCTCTTCGCCGAAAAGCTTTTGGAACACGCACCGCTGGAGAGTTTCCGCCTCGCCGAGCCTTTTCATCGCCGTTCGCCAGTCCTCTTCCTTCTTCTGCACCTGTTTCTGCACCTCCTGCAACCGCCGGACTAAGGTGGCGGCGTCGTTGAACTGGTATTCCTTCGCATCCGCTAGTTGTATTCTGTCCAAAAGGATCTTCGACGCACTAGACCTAGTCCTCGGACGAATCGCAATAATGCATGCGGAATCCTAGCATGACTGCGGCCTAGACCGAGGCTAGTCCGATGTACCAGGCTAGGATGGGTCGCAGTGCCCTGGACGTTTGGCGCGGCCTAGCGTGGGTCAAATCGTTTTGCCTTGTTTTTCCTCATGTTTTCCTCATGCACTACCCTAGTCCGGCGCTTGCGCAAGTTTGCGAAGCTAATTTTTGACATGCTAGGACAAAACGCTGCGGCGGACTTGCCTAGGCTAGGACAGTGACCCGAGGCCTAGGGCGCAGAACACTAATTTTTGCCTCTGCCCTGTCGGCTTTTCGTGTGCCTTCTTCGTTCTTGGGGGCCTTTCGGTAGACGCGCCGGCCTTCGGCCTTGCTTTGTCTGGTTGACGTTCCGGGGCCGGACCGCGCGAATCTAGGGACGCCGCACGGCGGAGCGGCAAGCCAAGGAATGGCGCGCGGCATTTTATTGGCGCGGGCCTTTGGGAACGCCCAAGACAGAAAGCACCGAACGGGCCCGCGCCTCTCTTCTTGCATACGAGTGCGCACGGCATCGGTGTGGCGGCCGTCTTCCCTAGCGGGCGCAGGTCTGCCTCTGCCGCGTGTTGCACGCTTGTGCTTGGCCGCCAGGCCAAGGTGACTAAGGTTGTGGCGGCCCTCGTTGAACCTTAGGTGACCGACTAAGGTGACTAAGGTTGGTGGCTGCCACCTAGCGGATGCGAAGGAATACCAATTCAACGACGGCCGCCACCCTAGGGCGCAGAATCACTAAGATTCAACGATGACCAAGGTGGCGGCGTCGTTGAACTGGTATTCCTTCGCATCCGCTAGTTGTATGCTGTCGACAAAAGGATCATTCTCATTGTCGCACTAGACCTAGTATGAATGACAGATCCACACAGATGATGAGATGATGAATGCCTGATCTTGCTGCATGACAGCGCGCATGATTTTTTCAAGGTAGAAAATTCAAGTTTTCAAGCGGATTATGTGCAGCTGTAAATGTAAAAATTGCAATGCAATTTCTAGCACGACAAGTTCAAGTACGGTGATGATTCTTTTGCACGATCGATAAACCGCTGCTGCAGCTTGTCCAACCGGCGTTGCTCCAAAATTTCCGCTATCCTGTGCGAAAGTATCGTACTCGTATTGCAATCATGCATTATACAAATCTTTCGCTTAATGTAAATCAGCGTTACAAATTTCATCTCTCATGCTGAGGAAATTTGTAATGCATTTTATACAGAATCAGCCAGAGATAGATCATCCTTTGGATGATCGTAGGCTTCCAGTGGGAAGCCGTCTTCACCGGAAGGGCATGAGCGCCCGCGATGGGGCACCCCGCCACCGCCGAAGGAGCCACGCGCCGAAGCAACCCCAAAGAACCCGCAGGAAG